GGATGGTTGCAGGTGGGAGGGAGGTTATGGGGGGAAAAATCCACCATAATCCAAAAGTTGTACTTTGGAAATTTATATTTATTAAATAGAAGTTAAAAAAAAAAAAAAAGAAGACAGTGAATCCTGACAAGTGAAAATGGCAACATCTAAAAGGATTCTGAAGATTGAGTGCAGAGCTCCTTAGAGAGTGTGAACCCCCAGACAAAGGACATTAGCATCACCTGGGAACTTGTTAGAAATGCAAAAATCTCTGACCTGTCCCAGGCATACTGCATCAGAGACTATGTTGGGGACACAGCCGTCTGTTAGTAAAAAGTCTTCTAGTAACTAAGGAAATTTTGTAACTACTAACTTGAGGACTACCACTCTGCTGCCTTTACTTGAGGAAGCTTTGCCACTTTTGCATGTAAGAACCATTAATTTCCCTTTCAGGAGCCACGCCAAACTGTTGCTCTAGCAACCAGAGTGCTAATTTAGCATCGTCTTATAAGGCAATACTGAATCTTGGTATAGAAGAGTTAGAAATCTGGAAGTAGTTGTAGGAACTTGCTAATTTGTATCCTCAAAAAAATTTGGGAGAATGTGGGAACAGATTTTGAAGTTGCTAGATCAAGGAATATGTGCCATATTTTGGGTCAGGCCAAATGAACAGATTGGGCACTTCCCACAGAGTAGACATTCATTGTGCTGACAAGCCACAAAGAACAATGAGAAGGTGCACTGAACTTTTCCTACAACAAACTACATCTCAAATGTCTAAGCTTCCTTAATAACTGTAAAGGAAGGAATTCAAAGACTTTAGGAAAAGAGAATAGAGGACTGAGTAGATTATGCTCATCTATTCCAGGCATCTTTTCATCGCATCTTTGATAGAAATGTTTATCTTGGTAATAAAAAATAGAGATTGATAAGGGGTATCAGTATAGTTTTAGTGCAGGAAATCAAAGCCACTGTAAGTATTGGAGCAGTTAGGGAGCTTGTACAGAATCAGATGCTTGAGAAATCATTGAAAGGCCACTAGAGAAGCAGGAATGAGGGATGGGGATGGAGTAGCCTTGAAACTATTAAATCCAGGGGCTGGCATGATGGTGTCGTGGGTTAAGCCACACCGGCAGTGCCAGCATCCCATACGGGTGCCGGTTTGAATCCTGGTTACTCCACTTCTGATCCAGCTCCCTGCTAACGTACCTAGGAAAGCTGTGGAAGATGGCCTAAGGGCTTGGGCCCCTGCATCCACCTGGGAGAACCAGAAGAAGTGCCTGGCTTTGGCACAGTCCCAGCCACTGCAGCCACTGGTGTCTCCGCAGCCATGTGACACCCTTGAAAATTGTGACCAGACATGCCGAATTCAGCTGCTACTTTTTCTTGTTAATACTGGGATCCTCAGGCCGGCGCCATGGCTCACTTGGCTAATCCTCTGCCTGCGGCACTGGCACGCCTGGTTTTGGGGCGCCGGTTCTGTCCGGGTTGTTCCTCTTCCAGTCCAGCTCTCTGCTGTGGCCCGGGAAGGCGGCAAAGGATGGCCCAGGTGCTTGGGCCCCCCTTGGCTTCGGATCTGCGCAGCGCTGGCTGTAGCGGCCATTAGGGGAGTGAACCAATGGAAGAAAGACCTCTCTCTCTCTCTCTCTCTCTCTCTCTCTCTCTCTTTCTATAACTCTACCTGTCAAATAAAAAATAAAATAAAAAATAAAAAAAACACTGGGATCCTCATGATCGACCATGCCAGTGAAAGCATCGGGAAAATGGCTTCTGCCCCATTCCATCTTTCGAGTCATTAAGAGTAACTTACGGTTGGCAGAAACCAATTTGCTTCCAGAATAGGAGTCAGGAAGCATGATTTTTAGCTTACTAGCCTATACACAGTAGGAAGGCCCATTAAAAAAGAAAGAGCGCTGGGGCCAGTGCCGTGGCTCACTTGGTTAATCCTCCACCTGCGGCACCGGTACTCCATATGGGCACCGGGTTCTAGTCCTGGTTGCTCCTCTTCCAGTCCCGCTCTCTGCTGTGGCCTGGGAGGGCAGTGGAGGATGGCCCAAGTGCTTGGGCCCCTGGCTCCTGGCTTCAGATTGGCATAACTCCGGCTGTAGCAGCCATTTGGGGAGTGAACCAATGGAAGGAAGACCTTTCTCTCTCTCTCTCTCTCACTAACTCTATCTGTCAAAAAAAAAAAAAAAAAAAAAAAAAAAAAAAAAAGAGCGTGAAGGTGAAGTGAAGTAACTCTGCATCCATCTGAGAGGGCAGGCAGCTTTTTACTAAAATCTCTTTCTGGAGGTGGCATGCTGAGTGCAGGAGCCACCACTGAAATGGGATGGGAAGAACTCAGGTGCCTGAGCTCCTATAGAAGCTGTTAACCATTAAAGGCACATCGATCCCCTCCATCCTAATAGGCAGAACCATGGCCACGGTATTAGATGCCAAATACAGTCTGACTTTCATGGATAGCTGATTGTGACAAGTGAATCAGGGGCTTCAGAATGTGACAGGTCATCAAACCAGATGTTCTTGTCTACTGTATACCCTTCCTACCTTCCCCCACCCCAAATGCCACGATTGAGGCACCTTCCTTGAGTGGTAAGTTTGGATGTTGCTGGTTTTTTAACCTGTCTGTCATGCCTGAGTTAATTCAGTGAAGCAGATTCATGGTTTGGTTGAATTGGAAATTAAGATTGCCACCTGGCCATTTTCTTCATTCAGGCCATCAGGAAACAATTAAAGAAAAGGAGGTTGTGGTATAGGTTGGTCTGGTGATTTCAAACATGGCTTCAAAATTTTGGATGCTTCCTCCACTCAAAATGCAAACTTGGGGGCCGCATTGTGATGCAGCGGTTCAAGCCCAGGCTGCTCTGCTTCAGATCCTTGGGCTCCTGCACCCACATGGGAGACTGGGAAGAAGCTCTTGGCTCCTGGCTTCGGACAGGTCCAGCTCCAGCCATTGCTGCCATTTGGAGAGTGAACCCATTTGGGGTATGAACCAGCAGAAGGAAGACCTCTCTCTGTAACTCAGTCTTTCAAAATAAATAAATCTTTAAAAAAAAACTAAAAAATAAAAAAACCACAATGTCCACCAGATATCTGACCCTGATTATGTTTAAAATAATAATAATAATAAAGAGAGAAAACAGGTTGTGGGAGACAATGTCAAAGTTGTGTGAGTGTCTCCCTTCAAAAAAACATTTATTTAGGAGCTGGTGCTGTGGCACAACGGGTTAACGCCCTGGCCTATAGTGCCAGCATCCCATATGGGTGCTGGTTCGAGACCTTACTGCTCCACTTCCAATCCAGCTCTCTGCTATGGCCTGGGAAAGCAGTAGAGGATGGCCCAAGTCCTTAGGTCCCTGCACCCATGTGGGAGACTGGAAAGAAGCTCCTGGCTCCTGGCTTTGGATAGGTGCAGCTCTGGCCATTGAGGCCAATTTGGGAGTGAACCATCGGATAGAAGACCCCCCCCCCCCCGCCATGTAACTCTGACTTGCAAATAAATAAATTAATCTTTAAAAAATCATTTATTTGAGGACTTACTTTATGCTCAGTGCGCCAAAATACTTGGTGTTCTCATAATCTGATGGAGGAGAGATATCTCAATAATTTGAAAAGAATGTTTAATGCAATAATTGGTATAAGAGATTTATGCAAAGTATTAAGAATGGATATGGCTGCTAGGCTCTGTCAAAGTCAATTGTTTAATCATTTATTCTAATTCTACACCTGAGAAAAAAATACACTGACAGTAGGAAATGGGGCATACACATAACCCAAAAATATATTATCAAATAACAATTAAACAACTACCCCCCCATGCATACACACACACACACACACACACAGGGTACAGATTTACAAACCACTGGCCCTATATATCTCTTGTTGCCTGAAATGTGTACCTAGAAACATCTACTCAAAGAATTTATAGGATTTTTATGGGGATCTTGAGTTCTCTTTCAGATTCAGATAATTTTGAAACTAGATAAATCTAAAATGTCACACTATCCTAGACCTTAAGAATTCAAGGAAAACAAATTCAACGAATTGAACATAAATTATGTACTGAGCTTTGAAGCCTTGTGCTAAATATGATACAAGGTTCAGTCAGGGAGAAAGAAGCACAAATGGTATTTTGACAGTCACATGTTGTCTGGTATAAATCCTGCAGCTACTATTTTCCAATTTAAGAACTTTTTTTCTCTTTTGCTATAGTAGATACTAGGATTTTGCAAAAGATACAACCAAATTTCCAAGTGTGCATCAACCTCAGGGTTGCTAAAATGGCTTACACATACTTTCTGGATTACTCCTTATTTCAAAATACTGAATTTTGAGCCATTGCCAGAACCCACGTTCTAATTTTAACTTAGAGAAATAGTCACACAGCTCCTGATCCACAACCTCTCTCTCTCTCGACGCCCACTGCCCAATTATCTAGAAGTAGGAATCTATACCTTTAATCCTAAATTGGGCACAACGGAAGGAGGCGCGGAAACCTGCGTGGGTTTAAATCCTAGAGTGCCAGTCTCATTTTCACATCACGCAAATGCAGGGCTGCCTAACAACAGCTCTGCAAGGGGCCTACAGCTGCCGACTGCCGCGGTTGGAACGAATCTCTTCTGGGAAGAGAATTCCCGCACAGCGTTTGTTGGAAATCAGCTATCTGTCGGCCTGTTTGATCACCGAGTAGGAGCAAAATCTGTTTTTCTCTTTGAAAAGCCTTCCCGGGGCCAGCAACAGAGCGCGCCCCGGCACCACGTGTCTGCACCAGCGACGGGATTGGCAGAGAGCGTTTCGGAGCCGCGGTCTAGACGCGCGCGGGCCCGCCCAGCTGCCAGAGGAGCCGGGGCTGCGGAGAGAAGAAGCCGAGGAGGATCGCAGAGGGGAGGGGGCGGGAGGGGGGTGGGGGACCTCGAGACGCCGGCGGCCTGCAGTCGGAGGAGACCAGGAACCGCGCCAGCCGCCCAGTCTCGCCACGACTTGCCCTGTGGAGACGCGCTGCGTCCTGCTCGCTGGAAAAAAGGCGCCTGTTCGCCTCTCCGCGCTCTGCCGCTCCTCGGCCTCCGCCGGCCCCGCTTGCGCTAGCAGCGCCCCTGGGATCTGGGTCCCCTGTGTCGCCCCGGTCCGCTCGCAGCGCCCGGCATCTGCCCTGGAGCGCGCAGCTGGGGTGAGCAGAGGGCAGGGATGCGCCAGGCGTCCGAGGCAGGACCGGCGAAGACGGGCCCGCCTCCGGCCTCTCCGGGCTACGAACCGAGCCTCTCCAGATCCCGCTGGCGTGGCCGCTGCAGCCCCCCCAGTCCCCGCTTGCCTGCTTCGGAGAGACGCCGAGGCCCCACCGTTGCCCGCGTCCTAAGGGCCTTTGTCTTTAGCGGGTTCGGCGGGCCCTCAGTGCCGCGCGCCGGGGACCAGAGGCTCCGACGCACGGCTGGGGGCCCTGCCGAGGTGGGGGGCGGAGGGAAGGCGAAAGCGGGCCCATTGCTTTCTCATCCGGCCATCTTGTAACCGAGATCTGACCAAGGGGGCGAGGACGGCCAACATGCGCGGTCCCAGGCTTGGAGAGGCTGCGGCGAACCGAGATGAACCCTAGGACCCGCGCGCCTCCTCGCTCCGGCCGCAGTGGGGCGCACAGGCAGCCCCCACGTCCACCTCCGAGCACGGGTTAATCCCTCCAACAGACCAGGGGAAGGGAAAATAGGAGGGATGAGGGGCCGGCATTTCCTCCAGCAAGCGCCGGATTCATTCTATCGTTCCGTTCGGGAGATTGAACGCCCTCTCCGTGCCCGTCCCGTGCTAGGTGCTGGGGGCTACATCGGTAAGCAGGAGAGACCCGGCCCTCGTTCCTGCGGATCCTGCAGCCCAGTGGATGGAGCCCAGAGCCTACAGACCTGCCAGGTCGGTATCCTGACGCCTTAAACAGATGGGGAAGCCGAGGCCCAGGGCTGACCATCTTGTTCTCGGTCAGGCAGCAGGAAAACAGAAGAATCAGACCCACAGCCCATCTACGAGTGTGTATGTCTCTAGGGCTTTTATGCCAGGCTGCAGTGGGTCGTTAATAGTTGTTTATTTATTTACTTTTTCACAAGGGCCCTGAAACAGTTTGGGCGCCATGGGACGTGCATGCTTTGTTTCCTGGATGCTTTCCGATGGGTTTATTTCGGGGTCACCGTAATCTGGAAAGTGCTAAACGTATTTGATATTACAACTTGGCTTCCCGTTACTCTGAACGGCATTTCCCTCTCTTCTGTTCACCTATTTGGCTGTTAGGGAAGAAAACCATTTTCCCGATGGTTGGTCCGAGCAGGGTCTCCCCGGTGGACTGAGGAATGTCTGGCTTTTCCTCTGCTCGCTGAGCTCTGTGGTGACCACGGGCAGCCGCCAGACCACCCCGAGGATGAGAGGCCTCAGGTCTGCAGGTCGCTGCTAGGACAGCGCTGGCTTCTCTCCGGAAAGCAATGCAGACCCCACGCAAGCTGGGAAGGTAAATACCGCGGCCTCGTGGAACTGGACGCGAGGATGGCGAAAGGCCCCCTCCGAAAACTCCTTTGAAAAGCAGCTGAGCAGGAAGACATTTAGGAAGCCTGCCATCCTATATGAGTAACTCCCAGTTTACTTTATAATCACAGCTGGATCGCGATGTGGTATTTTAAAACGCACCTTTAATTTTAGGCGTGCAATTTTTTAAAAAGCTGTGACATGTATATATACCCCCGGGGTAATCAACACAACAGTCAAAATGTAGGGCACTTCTAGTATCCCCAAGTTTCCCAGAGCCCTTTTGCAGCCGGCCTCCTTAAATGTACACACGGTCTTTTGGATGGATAGATTTGTAGAACGACAGCGGGTGGCACCTAAGAAGGCAAGCTCCCCCGGCTGGCGCCCTTTCCGGGAGCACGGGTGTCACCACTCGGTCTGTTCTGGTCCCGCAGGGCGCCGGGCGCATGCTGAGCGCGCGCAGGGGGACGCGCCCTTCGCTCCGGTCCGGGCTCGGGCGCTGCCATAGTAACGGCCCTGGACGCCCAGACCCTAGGTCGCCGCCGCCGCCGCCGCCGCCGCGGGGAACCCGGCCTTCTCCCGCTCCCGAAGGCCGTGGTGGCGGCGGCGGCCCCGGCCGGGTAGAGGAGACCGCCCCGCTCCCCCGACGCAGGCACACGCGGCCGACTGGCTTGCGAGCATGGTAAGAGGCGGGATCCCGGGGTGCGCAGCGGGCACGTCGGCTCCACGGGACCCCAGCTCCCCGCCCCGCGTCCCACCACGCCGTCTCCTCCTCCCACAGCCCTTCCAGAAGCACGTGTACTACCCGCTGGCCGGCTGCCCCGAGGGCCCCGACGCCTCTGCAGCCGGCGGCGCGGCGGGGGCAGCCGCCATGGCGTGTTTCCCTCCCAGGGCGGGGCTGGGCCCCCAGCCCTTCTTCCAGTTCCGGCCTCGGCTGGAGAGCGTGGACTGGAGGCGGCTGAGCGCCATCGACGTGGACAAGGTGGCCGGGGCCGTGGACGTGCTGACGCTGCAGGAGAACATCATGAACATCACCTTCTGCAAGCTGGAGGACGAGAAGTGCCCGCACTGCCAGTCCGGGGTGGACCCGGTGCTGCTGAAGCTCATCCGCCTGGCGCAGCTCACCATCGAGTACCTGCTGCACTCGCAGGAGTTCCTCACCTCGCAGGTGCACGCGCTGGAGGAGCGGCTGCGCCTGAGCCTGAGCGACTGCGAGCAGAGCCGGAAGCTGCTCACCAAGCAGGCGGGCGAGATCAAGCTGCTGAAGGAGGAGTGCAAGCGCCGGAAGAAGATGATCTCCACGCAGCAGCTGATGATCGAGGCCAAAACCAGCTACTATCAGGTGAGGTCGCCGCTCAGGGTGGCTCCCGCCCCCCCGTAGCTGACCGAAGGCCTGGGTGGTTACCTTCTGCAGCACCAGGGCTTCAATCATTAAACAGCTAGGTTGTCCGAGGACCTCACTGAAGTGCTCCAAATGCGCTTGTGGGAGGCGCTTCCTCCTGCTAATGGATGTCCTGAACGACCAGCCGTGGACCAATGGCTGCTCTGGAAGGCGGCCCCAAAACCATGTGGAGTGATTAGACTTAGGGGGTTGTCTCATTTTTAGAAAGTTTGGGATACTTTCAAATGGACAGAAAAATGGCCACAAGCGTACAAAGAACTTTGATACACGCTTCACCCACATTCACCAATTATTAACACTCGGCTGGACTTCCTCCAACTCTGTGTGCCGTACCCTCTTGCCTCTGAACCATTTCTCAGTGAGCTGGGGACTCCCGGGTACTTCCACGTGTATAGTTCCTCAGACCAAGAGAATTTGCTTGCATCAGCATTTAGAGAATTAAACATTTTTTGTTTTTCTAGTCTTAATTTACAGCTGCTATGGGTTACACATTGAGCCCAAGATAAATATAGCAATTTTTTTTTTGACAGGCAGAGTTAGACAGTGAGAGAGACAGACAGAGAGAAAGGTCTTCCTTTTCCGTTGCTTCACCCCCCAAATGGCCGCTACAGCCAGTGCGCTGCGCCGATCTGAAGCCAGGAGCCAGGTGCTTCCTCCTGGTCTCCCATGCGGATGCAGGGCCCAAGGACCTGGACCATCCTCCACTGCCTTCCTGGGCCACAGCAGAGAGCTGGACTGGAAGAAGAGCAACCGGGAGAGAATCCAGCGCCCAACCGGCACTAGAACCCAGGGTGCCCGCGCTGCAGGCGGAGGATTAGCCAAGTGAGCCGTGGCTCCTGGCCAATATAGCAATTTTTTTTTAGCATAACAAATCAATCTACCTCTTACTAATTGATTAGATGGAGGAAGTGCACAAGGTATAAACAGTGTTTGGAAATGATATTAAAGTAAGCAACAGGGTGACAAGATCAGTTTCACACCCTTACTTTCTAGTCATTTTAGTGGAAGATGGTTTACTGGACTAAAGTGTTCTCAAACTAGATGAGCAGTCAGGAAAGAATTCTCTGAGAGGCTTGTGTCTGACCTTGGGTGAGCAACCATGAGGTGTAACCTTCAAATCATACTTTTTTTTAAAAAAAAAAAAGATTATTTATTTATTTGAAAGGCAGAGTTACAGAGAGGCAGAGGCAGAGGCAGAGAGAGAGAGGTTTTCTATCCATTGTTTCACTCCCCAGAGGGTTGCAACGGCTGGAGGTGCACCAATTCTAAGCCAGGGGCCAGAAGCTTCTTCCGGGTCTCCCACGTGGGTGCAAGGGCCCATGGTCTTGGGCCACCCTCTGCTGCTTTCCCAGCCCATAGCAGAGAGCTGGATTGGAAGTAGAGCAGCCGGGACTTGAACTGGTGTCCACGTGGGATGCCGGCACTGTAGGCGGCAGCTTTAACCACCATGCCACAGTGCTGGCCCTCTGAAATCATACTTAACATGGTTAAGGCCTGTTGTGTAAATGTCACTTGAGAATCAAATATTTACAGATAGTGCTATGATGTCTTTTTATACAGTACACAGAATAGATTCTCTTGAAGCATTTTAAAGTTTATTGTGTTCTAGCTTTGACAATTATCTCGTAACAGGCCTACTGTATAAAATCCTGTTTGCTTATTAACATCTTTTCATTTCACTGCCTTGGAAAAAGCTGTTGGTAAATAAAGATTCTGAAAGATGGGTGATAGATAAGGATAAAAGGGAGAAGACTCGATTTTATCAAACAAGTGACACCTGCCAACTCCTGGCAACTCAGAAGATACTCTGGATGACAGTGTTGACTTTGTGGAGTGCTCAGGCATGACATGAAGAGGTAGAAGTGACCGGGCCAGCTTTCCTACTTGGGTGGAGGGCTACACTCTGTCCTCTATAAGGAGTTTGCCATTGTTTCTTTATGGGTCTTTGAGCCCTGTGTTTTAAGGTGACACTTCCATAGTCAGACCACCTGGGTGTGAGGCCCAGCTGTTCCAATGTAAATATTTCAAAGGCATTTAACTTCAAAACCTTGTTTTCCTCATCTGGAAAATGGGTTCGTTAGTAGTAGCTACCTTCTAGGGTGATTCTGAGACTTCCATGAGGTAGCACACATGAAGCATGAGGAAGGCTTCCAGTATCATTTGCCAAGATGGTATCTTTTGGGAAGAAAGCCTTCAAGAGTTAGTGTCTCAGGTGCCCAAATTTTAAATGCTGGGTAGAAAGATATTTGTTAGAGATTTAGAGATTTGTTACTCTCTTCTCAGTGCCATTTTTGTGACAAGGCCTTTATGAACCAAGCTTTTCTACAAAGTCACATTCAACGCCGCCACCCTGAAGATCCTCACCTTGGTAAGCAATGAGATGTATGTCAGAGCTGTTTCCTTTGCGTTCCCTTTTTCTTTTTTTCAGTGAGGCATGGTCCAGTGCATTTCTCAGTCCTTTTACGTGTGATAGTTCTGCCAATCCAGTAAGTAAATATTGAGCCCCTACTATGTGCATGCAATGCCGTAAGTTCTGGGGATGCAGCTGTAGCACAGCAGAGAAGCGTTGCTCTCTTGATCTCACATCCTCCAGTGCGTGGGGCCAAGGAGCCGCACGCAAACAAGTATATGAGAAAGTCTTTTCAGTTGGTGGCAAAGGCCATGAGGATGTGAAAAGAGCAGGAAAATCAGGACTCCAGGTGGTCAGTGAAGGTATATATTAGAGATCAGAATGATGAGGAGGTTCCAGCCTGGTGAGAATCTGGAAAGTGTCCCAGGCACCTGGAACGCTAATTGTAAGGGTCCCAGGGGAGGTAGGATGAGGTGTTTGAGGAACAGAAGGGAAGCTGGTGGAGTAGAGTGAGCAAGCAAGGTGGTCTATGATGAGGCTGGAGAGGGAGTTGCCAGACCACAGGAGACCTTGAGGGACCTAGGCTGGAAGGTGGGTGTTTTATTGAGCACAGTGGGAAGTCACTGGAGGATTTGAACTAGGGGAGGAACATGATCTAATTTGTACCTGAAAATGATTCCTCTAGCTGCTGCGTGGTGCCAGCAGTGGAAGCAGGTGGAGAAGTGAGGAGGCTGTCCCAGCAGCCCAGGTGAGAGATGGTGGTAGCCTGGACCAGAAGGTCCCAGGGCAGAGGGAAATGAAGATGAGGTGTTTTGGACATAAAGCTATAGAGATGTGACTTAGCACGAGAGCAAGAGGAAATGCAGAGTTGATCCTGGGTTGCTTTCCTCCTTGGTGGAGGAATGGCCATGATGTTGACTGTGATGGAGGGCAGGGGATGGAACTAGTTTGCAGTAGGAAGGAGAATTGGGAGCTTGTGTTGGCCATGGGTACATTTCCATCACACGCATAATCTACATGCATGTGGGGAATGCTGCAGGTTGCAGCTCAAGGGAGAGAGCCCAGCTAGAGATAGGAATCTGGGAGTCAGTGGGAGAGCTGTGTTGGCTGAGATCATTCAACAGAGGATAGAAACGGCAGAGGCCAGTGCTGAGGTTCTCCCAACCCTAGGCACTCCGGAAGAGCAGCACAGTGGAGAGGGAGCAGTAGATCTACAGGGGTCAGGAGGGAACTCTGTGGATGTGTTGTCATGGAAACCAAGAGACAAAGTCTTTCAGGAAGGAGGTGGTGGTCCATTGCACCGACTGTCCCTGGGGCACTGGGTAGGAGGAAGCCTGAGAACTGACTGTTGTCCAGATGCTCAACTTGAGTGAGCTGGGAATTGTGAGGGAGTAAGTGCTATAGAATACAGACCCTGATTCCAACAACATTGGCTGGGGAGGAAAACGGAGACGTGAGAGACATCGTCTAGACCAAAAGGCGGGATGAAGGGAAATTAAGATGTGCCTGACTGTTGATGGGAACTAAGCAGAACAGAGGAGGAAGTGAGGAGGCCAGCAGGGTGATTCCAAGTGGTTCCCAGATGTGAGGCTTCCTGCTGTGTGGGTGTCCTCAAATGCAAAGAATGCAGGGTGTCCGTCCCCTCCAGCAGACTGAAGCTCTGCAGGTTGTCAGTCATTCTCATTTTGATTCTTAGGATCCAGAAGTGCTTGTTGCTAGCTTGTTACCCAGTACCTGAGCCTTTTTCCCCACCTCCATTTAGGGCCAGTCTTTTTCTATTTCTGCCCATTTTAGGTAAATAGATGTATTTAGGAAATAACTAGGCTTTATAGAAACAAAAGAATAAGCATAAAATTCCACTTAAAAGCTATGGACCACAGAGACAGTTCAGCAGTATATGGTAAAGACTAGAAGGATGCACTATTTTACGTAATCTATCATTCTTCAGTATGACACTGACCTTCTTTCTCTTCTGTTTCAGTATCTTATTCTATCTCATACTCGTATCAGAGAGCATTTCAGACTCTGAAATGAGTATTATTTCTTCAGGTCATCTTTGAGATTCTGACTTTCTACTTTGGTTTCCATCCCTTTCATGTCTACACTCACAGACACATGTATATCCATTCAGTCATGTGTACATCTTCATGTAAGTACAGGTACCTAAGTACTCTCCCTTCACTTGTCTCTACTTTGTGCAAGTTTTCAGTACTTCGCTTTTGCCCCAGCTGACTGAGAATGGCCCAAGTTTTGCATTTGGAATGCCCGCCCTTTGCTTGTGTTAGCACCGATGGGGTCCTCAGGAGCATTTGGTGGGAGCCCAAAGGATGGTGACCTAGAAACTTTTATACCGTGGCACCTGCAGTGGAAGCCATTGTTCCCATGGAGACAGGCATCTCTAAGAAGAGCCCACATTGCCATTGGGTCAAAGCAGCCAGGATTATTTGTTGCCACCATTGTTGCTCCCCACACAGCGCTCTCACACTGTCTCCATCAGATAACCCAACCTCAATACAGTGGCTGAACAAATCTGCCAAAAATAATTCCTTTCCCGATAACATAAAGGGCTCCAGATAAGAACTGCAGAGCAAAAATGGGCTCACGTGGGATGAAACCAGTAGTAATAACCCAAGGAAGAGTTTCCTTTCTCACCCATAGGACTGTACCCTGTAAGTTTTCAGATGGCGTCTGTGATCTTGTTTTGACAAGACTTTCTGTTGGAACAGACTATAAGGCAAAGGCACAGACCGATAAGCTGCAGGGTGAGATCGACATGTTGAAGGAGCAGCTGCAGCTCACCAAGTCTCAGCTGGAGACCTCCCAGCATGCCCATGCCCTCCGGTTCTCTAAGGTATGACACAAAACTCTGAAACAATAGCATTTTAATTACAGTTCTACCTAAATCATGTGTGCCATGGACTCTCATAAACAGGACCCTTAGAAGATTCTAGAACTTGATAAAATGTTGTATTCGGTAGTGCCAATCTTACTCTTTAGTATCTTGCTACAAAGCACATCCTGGAAATATAATTCTCTCTCTCTGCTTAAAACAATCCATATTTATTATCTTACATTACATTTCTGTGAGCCCAAAGTCTGACGTGAGTGTCACTGGGCTAAAATCAAGGTGTCAGCAGGGCCGTGGCCCTTACTAGAGGCCGTGGAAAGAGACCGTTTCCTGCTTGTTTAGGTTGCTGGCAGAACTCAGTGTCTTGGAGTTGTAGGGCTCAGGTCTCTGCTGGCTGTCTGCTGAGGGCTGCCACTGCTTTCCCGGTGAGGCTGCCTGTGTTGTCTGGCTGACGGCCCTCTTCCTCCATGTTCAAAGCCACCAACAGTGGGTCCAGTCCTTCTCCTGCATCAGGTGTCTTCTCTTTTCCATCATATTTTTTTTTTGACAGGCAGAGTGGACAGTGAGAGAGAAAGACAGAGAGAAAGGTCTTCCTTTGCCGTTGGTTCACCCTCCAATGGCCGCTGAGGCCGGCGCGCTGCGGCCGGTGCACCACGCTGATCCGGTGGCAGGAGCCAGGTACTTATCCTGGTCTCCCATGGGGTGCAGGGCCCAAGCACTTGGGCCATCCTCCACTGCACTCCCGGGCCACAGCAGAGAGCTGGCCTGGAAGAGGGGCAACCGGGACAGAATCCGGCGCCCCGACCGGGACTAGAACCTGGTGTGCCGGCGCCGCAAGGCAGAGGATTAGCCTAGTGAGCCGTGGCGCCGGCCCCCATCATATTTTTGACCTGTTTGTGAGCCCTGTTGAGTACTTGGAAGGTCTGATTCAGTTACTTAGGGATGATGAAGGCCTCAGGAGGAAAGACAGCCGTGATGCTTGAAATCCAACTGCTGTGGTACCAAGTCTGCCTTCGCTGATCCAACCGAGGAGTGACCTGAGTGCACTCCATGGAACAAATAAGACCAGGAGAGAGCATTTATCTTGTCACTACTGAACTACAAGTAATACTATGCTCAGTTTTTTTCTTGTTTCCTCTGGAGAACAGGAAGTTTGACTTTCTAGGTGAAATGGCAAGTTATTTCACAGAAGATGGGGTGGAGCCCTCTTGTCTCTTCATCCGCTGTCTCCCTCTCTTTCTCACTCTCTGAAGTGTCATAAAATTCATACAGCACACAATTTACATGTTTAATCATTGTAAAGAATACAGTTCAGTAGTGCGAAGTATAGAATAGCTCTTCCTTAACCATGGAAAATACATGCCAAGACCTAAGTGGGTGCCTGAAACTAGAGACAGGATCAAACTCTTTATATGCTATATTTTCTCTATACGTATGAACTTATGATAGAGGTCAGCTTATACAAGCACACTAAGAGGTTAACAACAATAATAAAATAGAACAACTATAAAAATGTAATAAAATTTCTTGCATCACTACTTTTGCATTTGGGGGCCATTATCAAGTAAAATAAGGATTATCTGGACATAAGCAGGTACTGTACCATGATAGCCAATCTAATAACCAGGATGGCTAATAAGTGGCTAACAGGAGGGTGGATATGCTGAACAAAGGGGCCATTTGTGTCCCAGGCAGATGGAGCAGGACAGCACAAGTTTTCATCATGCTACTCAGAATAATGTACAATTTTAAGCTTATGAATTGTTTTCTTATAAATTGTCTAATATTTTCAGACTACAGGTAAGTGAGATGACAGGAAATGAAACTGCATTTAAGGAGGGACTATTATATTCAGATTGTTGCAACCAATATCCAGAACTTTTTTCTGAGATAAAACTAAAATTTTGTCCCCATTAAATAACTCTCCACTCACCTCTGTATATATTCCTCATATATTATAGTAGTCTCATAGCTTTAAGCTCTTCTATTTAGATTATTAACCCATTTAGAGTTTATTTTTGTTTATGGTGTGAGGTAGGGGTTCACTGTATTGTTTCACATGTACTTATACAGTTGACCTAACACTTTTTGTTGAAGAGCCTATTCTTCCCCCCATTGAACTGAAGATTGGCATTCCATTTCTTCAAAAAAGGATATTGGAATGAGATTGCAATATGAATCTGTTGATTTCTTTGGAGAGTATTGCTCGTTAAAAATGTTAAATCATCAAATTCATGAACGTGGATGTCTTCCCATTTATTCTGGTGTTATTAGCTTTCATGCAGTTTTTTTTTTTAATTGTTATTTATTTATTTGAAAGGCAGAGTGACACAGAGAGAGGGAGAGACTGAAAGGGATCTTCTATCCACTGGTTCACTTCTTAAATGCCTGCAACAGCTGGGACTAGGCTATCAGCTGCAGCCTCCCTTTTAAAATTTTTCATATTAGCTTCATGTCAGAACTGTTATTTTTTAAAGATTTGTCTATTTTTTATTTGAAAGGCAGAGCTACAGAGAAAGAGGGAGAGATAGAGAGCTCTTCCATGTGCTGGTTTACTCCCTAAATGGCTGCAACATCTGGGGCTGGCCAGGCTGAAGCCAGGAGCCAGAACTTCATCTGGGTCTCCCAAGTACATGGCAGGGGCCCAAAGACTTGAGCCATCTCTCACTGCTTTCCCACGTGCTGATGCGCGTGTAAGTGGAACAGTTGGGACTTGAATGGACACCCATATGGGATGCTGGCATCGCAGATGGCAGCCTAACCTATTATGCCACAATGCTGGCCCACGTCAAAACTTTTAAAACCATGCTTTAAAATAATTTTAGGAATATGAAATGCAGAAAACAAAAGAGGAAGACTTTCTGAAGTTGTTTGATCAATGGAAAGAAGAAGAAAAGGAGAAACTCGTTGGTGAAATGGAAAAAGTCAAGGAGATGTTTATGAAGGAATTTAAAGAATTAACTTCCAAGAATTCAGCATTGGAGTATGTAAGTATTAATCCTAGTGGCTTCTATAGTTTTGGTTTCCTTGAGAGGTTTGTTAGTGTGGCATTGTGGCCAAAGGACCTGGAAGGTGTTTTACTGTGCCCAGGTACAGATACCCCTCCCTGCTAGGGGCTCCGGGGTTGCTTGAGGCCTACAGAAGACAGAAGGAGTCAAACAGGTTGTTTTGTTGACCCTTTCCATATATGGTTAGGTTCTGATACCAAGTTTTGGAACTTCCAGCATTATGGCTGGAAAGGGTGACACAGATCACCAGTGCGGGAGAAGGAAGCCAGTCTAGACAGGGCCCTGCCTTACCACAGTGCACAGTCTTGCAAGCAAGCAAGGTGTGGCTAAGTAAGGCCTTGGCCTCTGTGGCAACAGCACTGGGTCAGAGTGTCTCCTCCTCCCAGAATTCCTTCCTCAGAAACCATCCATACCCACTGGGGACCCTGAGCTCACCATGCCAGCTCCTTTGAGCTGAGTTATCCTGTGGGCCAAGGAAGGAAGGGAGCTCAGGGGAGATCCTGGAGCTCCCCCTAGGGGCCACCACGGTTTATACAGCAGGCGAGAGGGCTGTTTTGGAATTCCGCCAACACTCTGAGCTCTAGCATAAGGTCAGCCAACCATGGCCCAAGACCCAAATCTGACAGCCCACCTGCTTTCTTGATGGGCTGCAAACTAAGAGCGGTTTTACGTTTTCAAATGGTTAGGAAAAAAAACCAAAAGGAGACTTTTGTGACATGACAGTGACGTGAAGTTCTGCATTTTCGCGTCCGTACGTGAACATTCACTGAGTCACAGGCGTGCACGTCCATTTGCGCTCAGCCTGTGCTGCTTTCTCGCTGGAGCAGTGGGTTGAAGGCTTTAAGTGAGACACTGTGTGACTCAAACACTCAAACAGTTACTCTCTGGTGCTTCTGGAAAAAGTTTGCCAGCTCCATATACCTTTCTAAAGCGAATGTGGTGGAATATTCACCGTCACACAAGGGGAAGTGGTGTTCCTTGTGCTGTTCTTTCAGTCTCTCTGTAAGTTGCCATTTTCAAATAAAAAGTTGAAGAGAAATTCCTCTGGGCAGCTGTCTGCATCAGCCTCCTTCGGGCGTGCATAGAGAACAGCACCACGCTCCCCCTGCAGTTCCAGTGCCTTGCAATAGCAGCAGCACGCTAGGTGCTGACGCCTCTGTATGGTTTCTTTCTTTCTTTCTTTCTTTCTTTCTTTCTTTCTTTCTTTCTTTCTTTCTTTCTTTCTTTCTTTCTTTCTTTCTTTCTTTCTTTTTTTTTTTTTTTTTTGACAGGCAGAGTGGACAGTGAGAGAGACAGACAGAGAGAAAGGTCTTCCTTTGCCGTTGGTTCACCCTCCAATGGCCGCCGCGGCCGGCGCACCGCGCTGATCCGATGGCAGGAGCCAGGTACTTCTCCTGGTCTCCCATGGGGTGCAGGGCCCAAGCACTTGGGCCATCCTCCACTGCACTCCCTGGCCACAGCAGAGAGCTGGCCTGGAAGAGGGGCAACCGGGACAGAATCCGGCGCCCCGACCGGGACTAGAAGCTGGTGTGCCGGCGCCACTAGGCGGAGGATTAGCCTGTTGAGCTGCGGCGCTGGCCTCTTTTTTTTTTTTTTTTAAGATTGATTTATTTATTTGAAAGTCAGAGTTACAGAGAGAGAAGGAGAAGCAGAGAGAGAGAGAGAGAAAGAGAGGTCTTCCATCCTCTGGTTCACTCCTCAGACGGCTGCAACGGCCAGAGCTGTGCTGATCCAAAGCCAGGAGCTAGGAGCTTCTTCTGGGTCTCCCACGTGGGTGCAGGGCCCTAAGGACTTGAGCCATCTTCTACTGCCTTCCCAGGCCATAACAAAGAGCTAGATGGGAAGTGGTGCAGCTGGGACTCGAACCGGTGCCCATATGGGTGCAGGCATTGCAGGCGGCGGCTTTACCCGCTACACCCCAGTGCCGGCCCCTGTATGGTTTCTTGTACCACTTCTGCTCTGGGGTATTCACATCTCCCATCTGTGCCTCCTCTAAGCGCGACACAGTATGACCCACTGGAGTGGGTGTTGACATCGTTCCCTGCAGGACTGGCTTCTTGCGACTTCCCCATGAAGGCTACACTTATTTCTTCCACAGTGAGTCGCTGCCAACTTCAGTTCTTCGGCCCTAGAGTCCCTCTGCACTCCTGCCTCCTGCCTCAGCATAATTATGGAACAGGGCTCTCCCCCCACAGCTGTTCTACTCCTGCTGGTTTTTCTTTTTAAGGTGTAGTTCACACCCTGTACAAGTCCGTGGCTTTTAGTGCATTCACAGAGTCATGGTGCCATGTTCATGGTCATCTGAGGACATTGCATCACTCAACACAAAACTGTGCACCCATCAGCACCCATTCCCCATCCTGCCCTGACAGCGGCTGATCCGTGTTCTGTCCATGGATTCGCCTGTTCTGGATATCCACATGAGTTGAATCACACTGTAGGCAACTTTTTCTCAATGGTTTCCTTAACTTCACATAATATGTTTGTGTAGCATGTATCAGTAGTTCATTCTTTTTTATTGTTGAATAACATTCTATTGCATAGACAGACCATATTTTCTTTGTCCACTAGCAGTAGATAAGCATTTGAGTTGTTTGTCCTTTTTGTCTACATGGTTTTAAGAAATTAACCATAGGCAGCCATTTGGCACGGAGGTGAAGTCACTTCTTGGGATACCCACATCCCCTATCAGTGTCTAGTTTGAGTTCTGGCTGCTCCACTTCTAATCCTGCTGATGCACATCCTGGGAGGTAGCAGATGATGGCTCAAGTAATTAGTTCCCTGCCACCCATGTGGGAAACCCAGATTGAATTCTGGGCTCCTGGATTTGGCCTGGCCCAACCCTGGTTGTTGCAGGCATTAGGAGGAGTGAACCAGTAGATAGAAGATCTTTCTCACTCTGTCTCCCTGCCTGCATGCCTGTGTCTGTCTCTCTCTCTCTCCCTCTGAATTTCAAGTAAAATGTAAATAAATTAAAAAAAATTAACAGTAGACATTATTGTTTAGGATAGTTTTAGATTTACAGAAGAGTTGAGCAGGTGGTATAGAAAGTACTACATAGACCACTTCCACCCTGCACAGTTTCCCATTACTGACATCATGCATTATGTTGGCATATCTGTGGACTTCCTGAACCAGTATTGATATTTGAGTGCTAAAGTTCACATTTTATTCAGATTTCTCTTGTCCTTACCCAGTGTCCTTCTTCTGCTCCAGGATCCTATCTCGCCTGGCACAGTTATATTTAGCTGTCATGCCTCCTTAACAATGCCTCTTGTCTGTGACAGGTTTTTCAGACTTGTTTTTGATGACTTTGATAATTTTGAGAAGTACTGGTCCAGGTGTATGGCAGGGGGCCCTGCTGTTGGGGTTTATCTGATAGTTTCCCCATGATGAGAGTGAGGTTATAGGTTTTACTTTGATAAGGTTCGAGGGAGGAAGTACAGTGCTGCTTTCATTGCATTGTACAAAGGGCAGACACAACATGATTTATGACTGTGGATACTGGCCCTTTGCCCCTGGCTGGGGAAGTATTTGTCAAGGAGCGGGTTTCTCTGCTGAAAAGATACGCCTTCTCCCCTGCCCATACCGCACTCTTTGAAACGAAGCCATTTTGAGCAGCCACGTTTAAGGAGTGGAGAAAACGCTCCCCAGCCTTTTGGTCTGGAAGGGAACTTAATACCTTCATGGTGTTCTGAGGGCTCTTTTTCTACAAGTAACTTCGGGAGTAACATAAAAAAAAAAGTAAAATTTAAATGTTGTATTGTGTATTAGTCAGCCTTTCATTACTACAAAGAAATGCCTGAGGCAAGTAGTTCTAAAGATGTATTTCGCTCAGGGTGTTGAAGATTCAAATCCAAGATTAGTGTGGCACCTGGTGAGTGTGGCGCATGTGCAGGGGAAGGATCCCCAAGGGGGTGGGCACCCAGAAAGCAGAGGAAGTGGGTGGGCCCAAACTCAGGTCTGTAAAACAGCCCCTAAGAACTCCAGAAAGCATCAGAGGACCACTGTCGAGAGCATGCCCCCAGTGACCTAAGAAACTCACTACCATGAATACATTACATTTCCCCTCTCAGTACCATTAAGACTTCAGGGTTTGCAGTCCTGCATGGGTTTGGGAGCGACATTGTACTTACCCCGTGGCAAACCCCTAATAGATTTACTCTCGGGGTCCCTGGGCAGTGTGGACCTCTCACTGCAGAACCAGTTGCACTCATGATTCTGGCAACCATTATGTATTCATCATCTGCCCCCTGCACCAGTTTTTTTTTTTTTAAAGACTTCTTGTTAAAGATTAGAAAGTTTCCTTTTCCTTTTTCATCCTGTAAACACTGGGAGAGAAACAGACAAGACAGTCCGGGGAGGGGGAAGAGGGAGGAGCCAGAGGAGTGTCCAGGAGGACAGTGAGATTTAAGACGTGGCTGTGCTCCTGGGTTTTACTCAGTGTTTTAGTGTTCCCAAAGTACAGCAGCCACGCTGGCAATGTTGGATTTTATTTTATAGCAATTGTTGGAAATCCAGAAGTCCAACATGCAGATCAAGTCCAATATCGGCACGCTGAGAGACGCACAGGAGCTGAAAGATGGCCATGCTGCGAATCCTCAGGATATCCAACATGTTATGCAGCTTCTCGACAGTCAGGTATGTAAAAAAGGGTCAGAACCGCCTGCATTTTTCTTAGTGAAGTCATTTACTGGAAGCATCACCTGCAGAAAGCCCTGTCTTTCAGTGTCTGTGAAGGGGAATTATTCATTTTTTTTATTGTCTCTAAAAGCATACCTAATTCTGTAATAGCTGTTCATTAAGTGCTTGTTGTTGCTTAATAGCTATGAATACAGCTAAATAGTTGTTTCCTGTTTTCTTAACAATGTCCATTTAAACTGTTACTATTATTTATTTTTCCATATTTCAGACATAGGTCTCACTTTCAAAAGGCGTAGAAAGGCGTTTTGAAGCCCTATATTTATTTTCAGAGCTGAAATATACCACTCCATCAGCAAACTGATGGTCTTTTACATTTCTCAAACATAGCTGTAATCATGTGGAAGTGAACCTCTGTAATTAGCACAAGTTTTGCCTTGGCTACATTCGTTGGTCAGTGGTAGTGGCATAGGGGAACATTTTTTTTTTAAAGAGTTATTTTATTTATTTGAAAGATAGAGTTACAGATAGAGATAGAGCCAGAGAGAGAGAGAGAGAGATCTTCCATCTGCTAGTTCACTGCCCAGATCCTAGACAGTTAGTGCACAGTTTGATAGGAGGGACTTGAGCATCTTCGGTTGTCAGTGTTGTAGGGCACCCTGGAGCTGGTCCCCTTGGATACTGAGGGATGAGCATTTTCTGCTGGGGCAGCTCAGAGTGTTCTGAACATCCAGGTCATAGCATCTCTATGGAGCTCTACACCGGACCTGACCACAGACACCTTAGCAGGCAACTCTGTTGTGTCTACTTTCCTCCCGTGCACAGACGTGCCTTCCTTAATCCTCTCAGTCCACCAGGGGCTGCTCAGCCTGGTGCCCAGCATGTGGTTAGGGGACCAGGAACCTTACTCTCGCCTTGTCTCCCCTGAATGGAAGGACATGGTTTTGAAGTCTGGAGGTCCCACCCGCTTCTTCTGTCCCCTTGCTGTGAGCTCTGTTCATAACCCCATCCATGAACTAAAAAACCTTAGTGATTCCTTTTGGCTTCTTTTGTTGACAAACTAGCACTTATTTTTGTAAATACTATTTTACTGGAACAGAGCCAAGCTCATTCATTTCTGTTGTATCTCCGGCTGTTCTTCCACAATCAATGATTGTGAACAAGTTGTCCAGGCACCAGAGCCTAAAATATTGACTAAGCTTAATGGGCGATCTGTGTCGACTCCCACCTTACGGTACAAGATTGAAACCACTAGCAAATGTGTGTAAGTATTTTCAGCTGTGCATAGTTTTTAAAATAAGTTAAAATTTTGTCAGATAGACAGCTGGACTTCCCACTAAAAAGGAGGCTCCTGTTTTTAGCAGATTTCCTTGTTACAGCTGCACTCAAATTACTTGTTTCACTCTTCTGTAGGAAAGCAAGTGGTCAGCTCAAGTTCAAGCTCTTCATGAAGAACACAAGAAAGAAAAGAATCAGGTAAGATTAAGAAACCAAGGGCCTGTGTGCCGGTCATTCTCTTTTTAGTAAATGTAGTATTTGTCCACCTAGTAACATTTGTGCAAAAATGTGAAACACAATTAATACTACTTATAATTCCAATATCAAACATGACCACTGCTACTACTCATTATAATTTCTTTCAGTTTTCTGTCCACGCTATTATAAATGTTGCATTTCTGTAAGTCTAGAGCTCTGTCTATATGGACTATGAAACTTGGATTTTACTTTATAGCTTTATATGCTTTTCACCTCATGTATTATAAATGTTTTCCTATTTTTTTAAAAAAAGATTTGAGGGCTGGCGCGTGGTGCACTAGGTTAATCTTCCGCCTGCGGTGCCAGCATTCCATATGGGCACCGTGTTCTATTCCCAGTTGCTCCTCTTCCAGTCCAGCTCTCTGCTGTGGCCCGGGAGGGCAGTGGAGGATGGCCCAAGTGCTTGGGCCCCCGCACCCACATGGGAGACCAGGAAGAAGCACCTGGATCCTGGCTTCAGATCAGCGTAGTGCCAGCTGTAGCGGCCATTTGGGGAGTGAACCGATGGAAGGAAGACCTTTCTCTCTGTCTCTCTCTCTCTCTGTCTATAACTACCTGTCAAATAAAAAAAAAAAGAGTTTTAAAAAAAAAGATTTATTTGAAAGGCAGAGTTACAGGGAGGGAGAGGCAGAGGCAGAGAGAGAGAGAGAGAGAGAGAGAGAGTTCTTCCATCTGCTGGTTCACTCTCCAAACGGCTACAACAGCTAGGGCTGGACCAGGCCAAAGCCAGGTTCAAGGAGCTTCATCTGACTCTCCCATGTGCATGCCACAAGTCCTTGAGCCACAAATGAGTGGCTTCAAATGATAGAATCATTGTCACACAGTTTTGACTCACATGCTCCATTCATGGAATCAGTCACATGTGTTCTCAACTATAGCTTCCAATGGTGGAAGTTGCAGCTCCCAGAGGCCACGCCCTCTCTCTCAATGACTGGGTGAATTCTTCAAGGCCAGCTGGAAAGTGTCTCTCCTGCTTTCATTTTCCCCTTCAAGAAAAGCCTAGAACTTCTTGTTAAGAACTCAGCCGCAGAAAACGTGCCCAGGCAGGATGCGCTTCCTTCTTGTGAACTCAGAGTTGACGGGGCTGTCCTGTACGTGCAGTCTCACCACCTTTGCTGTATTCCATCCACCACATGAATACATCCGCAGGTGCCACCCAGCCCAAGGAAAGAGACCATACAGGTGCATGCACTGGAAGCTGCAACCTTGAAGGCCATCTTAGAATTCTGCCCAGCACCTCCTCTGACCGCTGTGCACAGGTCACCTGAGGCCACTCCATCTAAGTAGGCAGTCCCCTCCTTCTGTCATTGTCACATCCCAGGTGCAGCTCTGATCAATGTTGCACACAGTCTGCTTCTCGGTGCTCGTTTATTGCCTGTCTCTCCAGCAGATCACAGAACTCTGAGTGAAGGGGTCGAACTCTCGAGCTCTCCACTGTCTTCTGGCATCCACTAATGTACCTAAAATATGGTTGGCACTCATTAAATACTGGCAGGATGAACGTGGAAGGTAGCTGGCCATCTAGCCTGGGGATCACTCAGCCTTCTTTTCTTATAGATAGTGAAGTAAGTGCTCCCTGTAGGGTAAAAGAGGTATCTGTAGGTCTGGGCCTGGTTTGCTCTAGGTTTTCATCATGGGCCCAGGCAGTCCTTGCTCGTGACAATCCTATCCTGTTTTTAGGATGATGACATTCATCTCTCAGCATGTTTTACCTTCACCAGCCAAGATGTGGGATCCCAAGAGCATTGGATAGTTTTTCTGTGTCCTAAACAGACCCATTAGACAAGAAATGTTCTCTCTTGTCCCTCTATGTTACTGGGAAGTAAATGGCCCATTTTTACCTTGTAGAGGTGTGCAGGAGCTGGCCTGTGTCAGCTTATGAGTGTATCTATCTCTTATCAATCAATCAGAGTGTTTTGTAGTTTTTTTTTTTGTTTTTTGTTTTTTTTTTTTTGACAGGCAGAGTGGACAGTGAGAGAGAGACAGAGAGAAAGGTCTTCCTTTGCCGTTGGTTCACCCTCCAATGGCTGCCACGGCTGGCACGCTGCGGCCGGTGCACCGCGCTGATCCGATGGCAGGAGCCAGGTGCTTCTCTTGGTCTCCCATGGGGTGCAGGGCCCAAGGACTTGGGCCATCCTCCACTGCACTCCCAGGCCATAGCAGAGGGCTGGCCTGGAAGAGGGGCAACCAGGACAGAATCCAGCGCCCTGGAGTGCAGTGGAGGATGGCCCAAGAAAATGGAACAAAAAAGATAAGTTCTTTTGGCTGCAAAACAATTTTGAAATCCATGCATAATTTTTTCAAGATATTTTCCATGAGCATTCCTCAGACCCCTCATAGTCCCTAACCAGGGATGCACTTCAGAATCACCTGCAGCCCTTTTACAAAGTACATGTGCCCAGTGCCCCCTAAATCCGCTTCAGTAGCTTGGTCTGGGATGTACATATTTTAGAAAGAAACAAAAACGATTTGGCTGTTCTGATTTGGATCCATTATACTTCATCACTAAAATCTCTACTCTTCATCACTAAGAGCATCTTCAGAGCATTTAGGAACTGAACTGAATTCAGGTTTCCTTGTTAATAGGGAGCAGGCTTTAAATTCTTGTTCCATTAAAACCCACTGCTTTCCAGGCACTCGTGTAAATTTCAATGGCCTTCTGGCTGAAACAGAACTCAAGTTGCAGTTTCTCTCTGTGAGTTAACGATTGCACAGAACACCAACTTTGGTTGCATGGAAGAGGAAGGGCAGGTCTTTCCTGGGTCCTGGTCGCCTTGGATATTCAGAATTGTGCGTGGCCACCAGGCTGCGCTGCTCTCTCATCTGCTGGTTTAGCCTGTTTAGAAGTTGCTCATATCTTCCTTCTTTTCTCTTAAAGCCCAACAGAAGGGTGAATTCAATCAGGTTTAGTAATCTCTGCCCAAGACCTAACTATTAATTATTCCACATGATTGGTGCCTACTGTGCCCACAATGCACATATTGTATTTCTCTGTTTAGGGGAAGTTGTGTTTGCCAACTTTTTATTGCCTTACCTAGATTCTTGGCAGTCTTTTTTTTTTTTTTTTTAAATAACATTGGTAGGAGTTCAAAGAAAGTCACAGGTAAGTGATGGGTATGCCCTCATGACCTACCCCAAGATGCTTGAGAGCTGGGGAGGTGCAGAATGGCCATGCAGTGAAAGGAAGAGAGGAGGAGTGATGGGGACAGGTGTAGAAAAAAGCATAGAACTTGATATGGTAGATCAAAAAATATGGGCTCTCAGGCTACACATTTTTTGAAATAATTTCTGGGCTTAGACTCCCCACATTCCTCTCTAATTCTTTTCTGGCCCATTCTTCTCATTCCCTACCTGACCCCCCCCCCCCCCCGTAAAATTTTATTCCTTTTGTATACCTAACCTCATACCTTATTAAGATATAACCCCTTGCATTGATATAATAGGTACATTATATATAATTTGTCAAGGCCCATGTAATATTTGTGTTGTTTGCCTGGTACATTTCTTAGAGTAGAGGCAAATTCTATTTCACTAAATAGTAGTTTATGGAGCTTAGTGACCATCTCCAGAAAAAGTTAGAAGGCAAATTTAGAAACAAACCTTTGTGCTGGTAATTTTCCCATTCTTAATCCCAGCATCACAATGATGTCATGCCTTAGTGCTATGGTTTGGATATTGGTTTGGATGTTGGGTATATCCCGGAGGCCCATGTGTTCAAGGCTTAGTCCCCAAAAAGTCTAGGGTGCATGGTACTAAGAAGATAGAAACTCAATCCAATTACTGTGTTTGGAGGCAGTGCTTTTTGGCAGTAATGAGATTGGATTAAGTTGTTGGCCTGGAGCCCCTGTGAGTGGATCATGGTGGCTTTAAAAGGAGAGGCATGGGCAGACACACTCTCCTCCCCATGTGCTGCTCCTTGTCCCCACGGGTCTCTGCCATCAGGAAAGAATTCACTAGAGGCCAGACAGATGGGGCTGCCAATCTCAGATTAGGAACCTCCAAAACCGTGATCCAAACTAGACCTCTTTGTTCCTCCATAAGTAGCTCGTTTCAGATATTTAGTTATAGTTAAAGAAAAAAGCTAATAAATACAACTAATTTTCCATGTGTCCCATGCCTTCATCTGTTTTGGGTTGAGACTGGGAAATCTATAGAGGAATCAAGATTTATTGTGACTGATGGTTCTGGGGGCGGGCATGTCTGAGAGTGTCACTTTAGCCTCTTGGTGGAGCCTCACGCTAATTCAGCTCATGGCAGAGAGTGGAAGGGCAAGGGGGCACAGGTGAGAGAGACAAAGCACAAAGGGAGCCTTGCTCTGTTGCAACTCGTTCCTGGGGTAACCAGTCCAGTCCCTCAAGAGTGATAACACATTCCTATGAGAGGTCATGACTCCCTCTTCACCACTTAATTGTCTTCTAAAAGCCCCACTTCCCCACATCACCACAATGGCAATCACATTTCAGCATGAGTTTGGGAGGGGACAAACCATGTTCAAACTGGAGTTATTTCCCTTCTTCTTGAGGCCTTGGACAACTCCCCATATTATTGATCATACCCCAGACCCTAAACCTTCACTTGAAAGCCTGGACATTTCTGTTGGCCTTTCTGTCTCATTTCTGGCTCAGCATTATCCAGATTGCTTGGGGAGCACTATTCCAGAGCTCTGTAAAAATGCAATGAAGATTCTAGAAGACTGAAAGTTGTTTTGCAGGCTCCAGTCAGATAGTCTTTCTAGCCTGGTTCAGTGTTTGTCCAGCCTCACAGGACACAGAGCACTTCCAAAGCAAGGCTACATGCAATGTGTGTTCTGGCAGTGGTAACTTGAGAGTCAGATTTTGGTCTGGGCTCTGTCTCTCCAGCTTTCTGAATCTGGGCCAGAGTTTCCCCATCCCTACAATGGGCTTGAAGATATATCCATAACATCGTGGTGTACATTAAACAAGATGAAGTGCATCTAGTACACAGTGTCGATTAAAAAGTAACAAGCAAATTGGGAAATGCCAGTCTTGATGTTGTTACAGAGCCATCTCAGAGGCATATACGTCCTGGTTTTCATTTGATCAGCACACCTTGTCTCTACTTCCATCCCTCAAGCTTGGAATATCCTTAGTCCTAGTTACCAAGCCTGTTTATTCCCTTGTGGAAGCAACTACTGAAGTTGCTTTAGGAGCCTTTCCCCGAATTACTGAGAAGAAATTCCTGAATTCTTTCTGTCCAGTGAATGATCTTCCCTGGTGTAATCTACAGATGAATCCGCCTGTGCCTCTCTGGATCCCCGTGTCCTCTGCATGTCTCCTTTGCTTCCCCTCCCTGCATGCATTCCTTCCTGTCTCTTTCCACCCTGCCCCCCTTTCCTCAGTGAGCATTTGTTAAAAACCTGCTAAAGGAAGAAGAAGGAAACCCTTGTAGTGGGAATGTAAATGAGGACAGCCATTGTAGAAAATCATTTGGAGGTTGCTCAAAAAGCAAAAAAATGAACTACCATAGGATCCAACGGTCCTCCTACCAGTATAAATCCAAGGAAATGAGACCACTCTGTTGAAGAAACATCTGCACTTGCCCACTTTACTGTAACACTGTTCGCAACGACCAAGAAGTGGAAACAACCTAATGTCCATCAACTGACGGACATAAAGAGAACATGGTACATAGACACAGTGGGCTACTACTCACAATTGTCATAAAAAGGATGATGTCTTGTCATCTGCAACAACATGGATGGAACTAGAGGACTTTATAGTCAGTGAAATAAGCCAGGCACAGAAAGACAAGTACCGTATGATCTCATTAGTCTGTGCAAATCTAAAAATAATAACAACCTCACAGAATTTGGGAGTAGAACGGTGGTTACCAGAGGCTAGAGAGTTGGGGAAGATTGATTAATGGGTATTACCTTATAGTTAGAGAGGAGTAGAAAGTTCTGCTGTTCTGTTGCACAGTAGGGTGACTGTAGACGACAATGAGGCACTGCATTGTCGCTCCCCCTCTTCATGGAGGAACGACACTAAACCCTGCCTAGGCTTCATATCCGAGTCACGGCACCATTATGTCGCTCCCCCTCTTCGCGGGGGAACGACACAGGACCCTGCGCTGTTCTTTTGTCTGCTCGGCCCTCCCCGGGTTTGCTGCTGGTTCTTCCCGGGTTGGCTACCATCCCTTCCACCTCCATGGAGGGGCGGTTCCCCCTGCCACATTCCCCACTTCCGCGGGGGAGCGGCACACCGCCGGCCGGCTCTCTTGGGGGCTGCTCAGGTGTTCCTTCAGATAGATGTTCCTGGTGCATGTTGTCTCTCTCCTCCTTTATAGTCCTCTTCCACCAATCCCAACTCTGCTACCCACACGCCGAGTACGCTGTTCTCCTCCAATCAGGAGCAGGTCCTGCTGCTTATTAGTTGAACTGGAGACAGCTGTGTAGAAGTTGTTTTCTCCTCTCCCAGCGCCATATTGTGGGAGAGAAGATGCATAGAATAAGTCTTAATTCCAGAGTTGCTCCCAGTTGCTCCCCACACTGCATATTGCTTAAACAAAAGATAAAAGCTAGGAGAAGGGATTTTTGAATCTTTTCACTCTAATGAAATGAAAGATGTTTGAGGAAACAGATATGTTTACTTTGATTTGGAAATTATACAGAGTGTACATTAATTGAAACATCTCATGGTGCCCCATAAAATATACCATTTTTATGTGTCAGTTAAAAGGAAAAAGAAAAAATGAAAATGGTGGCCAGCATTGTGGTGCAGTGGGTTAAGCTGCTGCCTGTGGTACCAGCATCCCATACCCCCTATTGGAGCACCCATTCAAGCCCTGGCTGTTCCATATCTGATCCAGTTCCCTACTGGTATGCCTGGGAAAACAGTGGATGATGGTCCAAGTAGTTGGGCCCCTGCCAATCACGTGGGTGACCCGGATGGAGTTCCAGGCTCCTGGCTTTGGCCTGGTCCAGCTCTGACCATTGGGGCCATTTAGGGAGTGAACCAGTGGATAGAATCTCTATTTCTTCCTTTCTATGTCACTCTACCTTTCAAATAAATAAAATAAATCTTAAACAAAATTTTAAAAAAAACTTTGGTAAGGGCCAGCAATCATGCTAGTTGTTGGGATTACAAAAATAATGAAGACGTACCCTGTGGCTCAGGGGACACCCCTTCAGGCCTGGATGGTACCTGTAGACTTGCAAGGGATGGAAGTGCATGGGAGTTCAGTGTGGCATGAGCACAGCTCTGGGAGAAGGAACAGCCCATCCGTGTGTTACTTCATGTAGCATCCTCATGTGGGCTCAGTTGACCACTTGAGCCACACTGTGAGGTTCTTGTCTTGCATCGTGACCTCCCCAAACACAAATGAACCACGTAGCACAGCCAGGACCTTCATAGGCAGGGATCACAGAGTTTCAACAACTGGATGCTCACGGATGGCATAAGGCCAGCAAAGAGGGCAGAACATGCCCGTAGGCAGCTTGAAGCCATGCTTAGTGCAGCTTGGAGATGATGCCTTTCTTGATTTTTTTCAGCTCCTATCCTACATAGAGAAACTCCGAACCTCAGTGATAGATGATCTAAATGTAAGTAATGTTTTCTACAAGAAAAGGATCGAAGAGCTAGGCCAGAGACTCCAGGAGCAGAATGAACTGATTGTCACTCAGAGGCAGCAGGTAGGTCTTGCATTAGCTTGGCACCAGCGTTCCCAAAGCAATTCATATGTTTTTAGTGTAGAACATTTGTAAGTTATACAAGGTAAAGAAGGTGGACTACTTTTTCCCCATTGTGATTGCTCGGTAAAGTAAATGCAATAAAATGAAAATTGTAAACAGGTATTTAAGAGTACTGGATTTATTCTGTAAGAATTGAGAATTTGAAGGTAAGTAAGAATTTCTTTCAGAAATTACTTTGAGAAACAGCCAAATCCCAATGCGTTGCTTTTTTCAACTTTGACCTCCATGCTGTTAAAGTCCTTGTGCCCTGTATCTGTGGGTGATTAGGTAAAAAGGTTAATTGACTGGCAACAGTACTTGTCCATTATCCAGTATGTTCCTATCTAGTTTCAAGTATACATTGCTAGAAGACTGTTTCTCTTTCAGATTAAAGAATTTACCAGTAAACCATTAAGCAGTGTCAACGAACCCAGAGGTAAGTGGACAGGGACTGCGTTGCCACAGGTGAGGTGGTCCCCCTAACAGCTTTGCTGGTTTGTGTTGGCCTAGGTGGCATTTTGTAAAATATTTTAATGCAGGAGATCTATTACCACAACCCAGAAAGTTGAGGAATTACAGATATTGTAGCTGTGTGACACTCTGCCTCAGTTTCCTTAGCTCTAAATTAGGAATAGTAATAGCAACTACATCCGAGGCTTGAGCTGAAGATTAAATGGGACAATGCGTGTGAAACAAACCTGTTCGTGCTGGCTGTTATTACTGCTACTACTCTTAATCGCGATAAAGAACTATAAAGGCTTGCTGCATTCTCAGTTGTGGTGGTCTGGAGGCTGAACAGTGGTTTTGAGTATACCAGCAGTATACATGACCTCCTAGCTGCAGCAATGATAGCTCTCCCATTGCTGTCATTCAAGAGCGGGGTTGGGGGGAGGCTGGGAGCTACACGTGCAGGTCTCTCTCCCTTCGATCCCACTCTTGGCTCCTGCATGTCTGAAGTTATTAAGAAATCTGTCTACTTGAGAAATACCAATTGGGCACAGGTCCTGGGTGCATGAGCTGGGTGTCCTTCTCCCTTGTTTTGAGATAAAGCACTGGGGAAGGAAAGGGTCGTGGTGTCCTATACCTTCTCTTGGAAGAGTGAGATCTCAGGGAGTGAGGAATACCTGTGTATTTTCTTAGATAGCAAAAATATTTAGGTAAAAGTCACTCCAGGAAAAATTGAGCTTTATAAGTATCTGTGTTGAATATATTCTACTGGGTGAGGCGTGTGTATTGGTAAATTTCATTTGTTTTCTGGGGGAGACATATTAGGAGAAGCACCACCAACATTGATTCCACAACTTGTGACTGTTGTTATTAACTGAATTCTTTTCATTTCAGGGACTCCTTTAACCTGGCAAGCTTTTGAATCTAAGCCAGCAGCCCCAGCTGTACCTAGTAAGTTTCTGTATAGGTTCAGGGCTCTAATGCTAAACCAAAACATAACTTTTATATTATTCTAGGAGACTTTTCTTTGAAAACTAATGTGGAGATTACATAACGATTTATTTTGATTTTTGGCTTTGACTTAGTTCCAAAACCCAGGATGGTAAACATCTGTGTAATTTTTGGTTAGCCATGCCTACTTGTTTGCAATTTGTCTAATAAAGGGACAACCAAAAACTCTTTGATGTCCCTCCAGTTTATACTTCCAGGCTTCCCAAAGAGAAATATAATATGTAAAATTTTTATCTAAATAAATATGTGTGTTCGCCTACCAGGGGTAACTTTTACTGTTGGAGCATATGGTCTGAAAAGTTTGGATGCCACTGACTCTAGAGAATTCCAGAAAAAAAAATGGCCCATAGTTCCCCATAGAGAGGACTTTGTGCCCATGGTGAGAAGGCTAGGGTGGCTGGCTCACCCGAGTCCTTCTCCAGGCATGGAAAAGGAGGAAAAGGAAAACACACACATGTTCTAAAGTTAAGATCAGCAAATTCAAATCATGAAGCAAAAGACAGCTTAGGAGATAATACATTCAGATTTGGATGTGGTTAATTTAGGTGAAATCAGATTTTTTGATTTTGTAAGCTGGAATAACACTTAGAGCAGGAACAGTTAATATTCTGTGGGTTTGTCATTCCTCCCTCCCTCCCTTCTTCCCTCTCTCCCTTCCCCTCCTCCTTCCCTCCCTCCCTCCCTTCCTTCCTTCCCTTTTTCCTATAAAGGGCTAGCTAATGAATATTCTAGACTTCATGGACTCTGTAGATGATCTTTTTTGCAACTACTCTGCTATTGTAGTACAAGATCAACCATAGGCAATACTTAAAGGAATGAGCTGATTGTGTTGCAGTAAAACTTTACAAAAACAGGCACAGGCTGGATGTGTCCCATGGGCTGTAGTTTGCCAAACCTTGGTGCTGTAAATGGGTTTGAAGCCTGTATTTCCAGAGTTGTTGGTAATTTATGAATACTCAGGAGTTGAACACTTCCACTAGTCGCCATTGTAAGGCCACAAAACATATACCTGTGGAGGCAGCTAAAGTTTATGACCAGTATTTTTTTCATATAGGATTGGAATTAAATATCTATCTAAATAAACTAGAGAAAGAGGCAGAACCAAAAGGGACGTGTCATTTCATGAAAACAAACTGGATAGTCCAGAGAGGATCTTCAGATAAGAATTGTCAAATTTGAGGTGGAATCTACCTCTCTGGAGAAGATTTAAAATAGAGAGCATTTAGTCTTTCATGAATCTCTAAAGACTAAGAATGAATTGATGCCTTTACTTGGTGTCTTGGGTCCACTGACCAGAGTGCTTTTCAAAATTAATTCATTGTACATGAATGTTCATTACAACATTATTCTTAATAGCCAAAAAAGTGGAAACAACCCAAATGTCCATCAACAGATGAAGGGGTACATGGAAGATGGTCTATTGATATAACAGAATGTTATTTGGCAATAAAAGTACATGTTGATATTGACACATGCCACAACATGTATGAACTATGAAGACATTGTGCCATGTGAAAAAAATCAGGTGAAAGGGACCACATATTATATGATTCCGCTTAAATGAGACATCTACAATAGGAAAATTCATAGAGATAGACAACAGACCATTGTCAGAGGCAAGGGAAGAAGGTAGAAATGAGGCATGGGTGCACAAAAGGTACGTGTGTTTTGCAGGTAGTGGTCAGGGAACCGCGCTAAAATGGAGTAATGGTTGTTGTGGCACAGCCCTGTGAATTTACTCAAAGCTACTGCATGTTTTAAACAGGTGTATTATGTCTCGTTGAAACTGTTGTAGGAAGTTAGTTGTGTAATATTTTGTCATCTGAAACATTTGGCCCTTAGGGTCCGTATGTGTCTTGACTTACTTGAGGAATGTTTGCATATCATCATGTTAAGATGCTTACACTTTCATCGTGGAGCCTGTGAGCTTTTCCCTTTGTGTCATGTTTCAGTGAATGCCCCAGTCTCGCAGACTTCGGAAGCTAAATCCAGTCTAACGATGGTACATGGTAAGTTTCAGCCATTGTCTCAGCATTTTATGTGTAGTTACTACTCTGCATTGATAACTTATTAACCCAAAGAGCTTCCGGGGGTGGAGGAGGGTAATTATGCAAGACAAAATATTTCAGTGAGTGCAAAACAGTTAATAAAACTGCAGTCTTCATACTTAATACTCTTGTAAACTGAACATACCCACCAAAGTTACACAGCATAGTATGCATACAACTGCTGGACTCACCAGTAGAGATTTTCACTTTATGATTTTTGTGCAAAATAGGAGTAGGTATTGGGTAAGAATGAGAGTGACTTGCTTCTAGACCAGCCAACCAGCTCTTGCCACAGGGCATGTGGTTGTTTTTATAACTTTCAGTGTGGCAGCAAATCACCTTTCTTAAACAAACAGTTTCCCTGATTGGTTGGGAAGATCTAGAATGGACATGTGATGGAAACCAAAGAAAATAAGTAGGAATTAGTAGGTGAAATTGCTGCAGGATTCAGTTGTTGGACACGATCCAAAGGGCGGATAATTGTTTATTAACATGAGCCAGTGGATGAGGTGAAGATTTCTAGCTATATCTCGCTTTTTATACAATTTAGGTGTTTAGCATTTTCAAAGTATGTTCTTTAGTAGGGAGTTTTCTTACAGTCTGCTGTATAATTACAAATGATTTCAGGTGGAAGGAGAAACATCTTTTTCCCATCTCATCTACAAAGGTTTTGGAATCTGATGATTATTGCAGTCTACTTTTGGTTTAACCTTTTAAAAACTTGGATATAAATGTGTGATCTAACTGGTCAGCGTAGTGAGACTTTTTATCTTCCTAAATATTCTGGTCTACATGATGGTATTTTGTAATGATCCTTTTTACTCATGACTGACTCAGCAAAGCGTTTATTGCACCTTATTTTTCCTAAGTTCATTTCAGGTAAATTAGTTGTCTTGAGCACCCCAACAAAATGTGTAATATAATTCTCCACATATTGGATCTTACTATTTATAAGAGTTTAGAACATGGAAAGTTTTCAACACTTTGGACCAGTACAGACATGAAGTACATATTGGAATAGTTAAATTTGCTTTAATATTGAATATACAAGAAATTTATCTCTGACAGTCATTCTCTATATTATTTCACATCAGGTCTAAAATCTCTCTGCTGTCTCCTTTTTTGGGGTTGATTTCTGCAAGGCATTGTTGGCCATTTCTCTTCTCTATTCCAACAGTGTATCTTGGTTTCTTTTACCTTTTCCCCCCTACTTTGTTAGTGCTTGATTTCTTTATGACATACAAAATTCATATCTTGTCACATATATTTATGCTCAGTCACACATCGAATAGGTATATGAAGCTGCCTGGGGTTAACTTACACGTCCTGAAGAACATTAACAGTTCTGTAGTCCACGTGATTGGCCTAGGGTTGCACGGATCAATCATGTCCCCTTCCGAGCATCTGCCAGGAACGCTACTCTTCAGTGCCAGCCAGACCTGGCAATGACCCTGGGATTGGATGTGTGAGCATCTCAATGGGCAGGAGCTGAGACTTGGCAAAGGCCCTCTGATGTCTCCCACCTGGCCATCGCCACTTCCCCTGAGCGCTGGGGGCAGGGGAGGTTAGTCATGTATTGCGTAACAGTAATTAGCACATTTACCCTCCCTCTCTTATTCCATCTCGAAGCTTGATGAGGCTTTTCTCCATGAAAAATGTCACGGTTACTCATCATCCTAGGTTGGGTGACCTGGGAACAGACTCTGAAGCGAGATTCACAGGTGAGGGGTTTACTGGGAAGCGCTCTTGAACAACACTTGTGAGGAAACCGGGATGGGGCAAAGGGGGTGTTGCATCCAGATGTAGCTGTAGCCCATCCTGCTTGTGAGCTTTAGAGCTGCAGTGGGCACTCTGGAATTGTCCTCCACTGAGGAGGCACGGGACTGGCCATTGTTCCCCTGGACTGCCCCACACAGAAGTAAGCTACTCCCTACAAATGAGGGACATTGACTGAAGGGGACCCACTGTGAGCTGTCAGGAGCCAGCTAGCTTTGCCAGGGCGTCTGTCCCGAAGCGTTCTAGATACAATCAAAACTCTGATAACTCCCCTGCTTTTAACTTTGCTACATAAGATGAATCAAATGGGCAGCAATAACGCAATTCATGGGAGGAAGCATGGATTCTGGAGAAACTAAGTGATCAGGCTTGCTTGCCACTTCCTGGATTAAAAAAACTCAGACATGTTTAGTAGTATGTTTACCTCCAGAGAATATGTTGTTCATTGCACTGTGACTACATTGTGATATTGCAATGCCCAGAAAATAAAGCACACTTAAGATATTGTTAAACTGACCCATGTGCCCATTGCTAGAGGGACCAGACAAAATGTCCATCTTCTTAGAGCAGCAAGGATGCAAATAATCACTTTTTCCAAAGCCTATGGGGACCTGGTAGGTTCTGCCCATAAATACAGATCTCCTTTCACTTAGTCTATAAATTTGAGGGGATTTGTGTGTGCCTACTCTAATCTTACAAGTAGAACGAGGGCTATAAAATCTAGAAGTTACAAATAGAAAAGCTTCCCTAATTGATTTTCAAAAGGCAGCAGCATTTTTGCTAGGCTTTATAATTATATTTTGCTCTCAAAGTAAATAAATATTTTACATCTCAAGATACTAAAATCATTGCCCAATACGTGACAGGAAATGCATTCTGGAGTTCAGGTGTTTTGTGGCTCTCGATGGAAAGAGCTTCCCTGTCTGACCACCTCTCACCCAAACAGTGATGCCAAGTGAGGGGACAGAGACTATGGAAGGGATGGGGATTAGAACTGCTAAGGAAGAATGGATCTCATGCATGTTTGGGACCCATGCGTACATGCAGTCACACACAGCTGACATCCTAGATATATATCCTGGCAGAGTCCCTGAGAGTCTTCAGTGAACTTCTATTCCTTAGAGGAGAGTTTCACTTGCCACTTGAAATGTTGGCATTTCTCTAGCTTTGTGCCTTGCCGTTCCTTTCACCGACCACACAGCAATGACAGATAATTCTAGGCCACCCCTATATGCAAGGCCAAGGCTAGGCATGACCAACAAAGATACAGAAATGAGGCAGAAGCGAAGAATGTCCCCAAGGAACTTAGAAGAGACCAGATGACGGGGCCGGTGCGGTGGCGCACTAGGTTAATTCTCTGCCTGTGGTGCCGGCATCCCATATGGGTGCCGGGTTCTAGTCCCGGTTGCTCCTCTTCCAGTCCAGCTCTCTGCTGTGGCCTGGGAAGGCAGTGGAGAATGGCCCAAGTGCTTGGGCCCCTGCACCCGCATGGGAGACCAGAAGGAAGCTCCTGGCTCCTGGCTTCAGATTGGCATAGCTCTGGCCGTGGCGGCCATTTGGGGAGTGAACCAATGGAAGGAAGACCTTTCTCTCTCTCTCTCTCTCTCTCTCTCTCTCTCTCTCTCTCTCTCTCACTGTCTGTAACTCTACCTGTCAAATAAACAAATAAAAATCTTAAAAAAAAAAAAAAGAAAGAAAGAAAGGAGACCAGATGCTTATAATTATGGTGCAAGGTGAGAGCCACTGATTAACTTCATGAGTATCCGGGCCAGAGGGATATTTCTTCCATCTGGGGGGACTCTGGAAGGACTTCCTGGAACAGCTGACATTGACCATCTGAGTTGAGGTTGCGAATATGTCTGGATGGTGTCCTAGGTGAGGATAATAGAAGAAGGAAAAGTTAGCGGGAGAGTACAGTTGTCTTAGTGGTGCAGATTAATTATAGAGAGAGGGCAGAAGAGATCTGAGGAAGGTAAGTCATGCTGAGACAGATCATGGCAGCCATTGAGGGCTGGGTGGCAGCATCCAGGTTTGTTGGGCAGTGTGTGGCTGCAGAATGTTGTAGAGGCTGGGCGGGCAGAATTGAACAAAAGCAGCAGGACCAGAGTATGTTCAAAGAATCAGAGCTGTGGGACCAGCTCTGGGTGTTGGTAACTGTGGATGTGAGATTCCCCTCCTAGGAAACAGGACTATGGTGGCAAGACTGGAGAAGAGGGAGCGAGTGTAACAGCTCTTTGGTGGAACTGGCAGAAAGGCTGGGCAAGAGATTGGGGCCAAGGAGAAGGGGAGCTGGAGCATGGTGAGTTCCCACAGTGGGTGGACGGTAGTGCCATTTGGAGAAGTTGAGACGACCAGGCAAGTGAGTGCCAGTCGGGACACATTATAGCTTCATGGCCAAGAACCTGGCCTTTAGAAGTAGACAGTCTGGAACCACAACTGATTCTTTGAGCTGTGGCTTTAGGTGTCCTCGTCTATCAAATGGGGAGAAGAGCAATGGCTGCTGCGGTCAACTGTCACAAGGATCCAAGGAGGCCCAAGCCACTGAGTGAGAACTGGCTAAGTGTTAGCTTCCGGGTCAGAGATGATGAAATCCGGCGAGAGATCAGTCAGTGGGAGAACAGGCTGGCCCAGCCAGAGTACTGGGAGCTTTACTTCCAGGGGTAATGGTAGGAGGCAATGAGAGGATTTTTTTTCTGGAAAACCCTGGCCAGTTTAGAGGAGACTTAAACCTCAGTGTGTTAAGCCTCACCCTGGAAGTCTCAGCTCAGAACAAGACCTGGGGTGTTTGGAGGCCAGGGTGTTTGGTGGCTGAGAAAGCATAAGAATGGCAGGTCCCTCCTGCCCACGTGTGACATGAACCTGCTGGTTTGTGGAATCTTCCCCAGCACTTGTTGTAGGAGCCGGGTTCAGGAATACCCCCTTCTCCCAGAACTACCCCTGCACCACAGGAGGAAACAGGACAGGAGTTAGCCAGTTTATCCTGCATTTAGAGAAGTAAGAGTATCCCTGTAGTAGCATAAAAAATACAAGTAGGATGATTTTGTGAAGGTTTTATCAAAAACTTCTTCATAACCTTATTCTTGTCATTTTTGGAAACTACATAAAATAGAAACAATGTAACTTTTAAAAAAACCTACTTAAATATCTTTTTCTGTCAAGTTCAAACTAGTAAAATAGTTGTTTGTAGCACTTTAAACTCTCGATGCTGAGTAACACATTTGAAAAGCAGACATCCGGTGTTTAGCAGCTGTGTGTGGTACCCAGGTGGACGTCAGTTCTCCTGCACGAGTGGTGTCCCTGTTTCAAAAGTAAAGTGGATTGTGTTCCCGAAGTTCATTGGAAAATAGTGTAAAATGCATTTCTCCATACAGCCAACGTGAGATTTGTTGACTGGGGTGCTGGCCAACCTCCGAGAGCCTTGTTATGTAGACCTAAATATATCTGTGTCTATATCTATGTATCTATACAGGTTGAGCTTCCCTTAACTGAAACACTTGGCACCAGAAGTGTTTCAGATTTGGGATTTTGGAATATTTGAAAACACGTAATGAGATCTCTTGGGGGTAGGACCCAAGTCTAAACATGAAATTCAATTATGATGTCTCATTTACAGCTTATACACACAGGCTAAAGGTAACTTCAAACAGTGTTTTTAGTGCAGCTACATTTTGACTGTATCCCCCCTTTCCATGAGCTCAGGTGTGGAATTTTCCACTTGTGTCATCTTATTGGCACTCAGAAGAGCTTTGGATATTGGAGCATTGTGGATTTCTGATGTTTGGATTCTCTATCTATCTAATCTTTCTGTCTACATTAGAGTACCAGAAATAGCATTTAGTAAGTTCAAAGCAAGACCTTCAGAGTAGGAAGTGTTAACTCTGAGATACTTAAAAAACCCTCAGACTGGAGCCTGGCCACCTGACGAGCACTTAGTGATTGATAGTGGTTGTTACCCTGGCTCCTTGCTCATTCTGGGGTCTGGGTTAATACGAAATGCCCTCAGCACTGGGAGGGAAGATGGAGAGAGAGGCAGGGAGGTACCCTGGATCCACCTCTAACCTGAAGGTGAGTTACCTATGCACCACCTTAGCTGCTGGTTGCATTTTATCCCATGTCTGATGTCTGTCATTGTTAAACCTTCAGCCAAAATCTGACCTGCCCCATAAAGTAAACTCCACTCTGTTGTTAAGTGGAGTTGGGTTTTGTTCCTGATCCCAGCAGGTTTCCTTGTGCACCGCATATAACATTTCTCTGGGGGAAAGTCCCCCAGAGATCTCATCTCCACCACCCGCAGTCACTGTGGTGGGGTGAGTGGGAAGGGCTTCTCTTCATCCGCCCAGCTGTGGGCAAGGGCCTTTTCCAACCCACAACCTTGCCCTGGTAGCTCTCCAAGAACAGAACTAGGGCTTGAAACAGGGTTTAGGGATTTGGCATCATATGAGGACACTTCAGCAAGTTCATGGAAAAACAGAATTAAAAGATACGTTTAGGAGTGAGTGTTTAGCTTAGCAGTTAAGATGCTCATCAAGTACGCAGGTTTGATTCCCAGCTCTGGCTCCTGCAGGGTTCCACCTTCCTGCTAATGTGGACTCTGGGAGGCAGTGGTAATGGCTCAGGTCGTTGGGTTCCCGCCACTCACATGGAAGACCTGGATTGAGTCCCAGCTCCCAGATTTGACCCTGGCCATTGTGGGCATTTTATCTCTCTACCTCTCAAATAAAATAAGTAAATATATTTTTCAAAAGCTAATGTAGTTTTTTAAATAATAAGAACTTTCCATGAATTCTTAAAATGTTTTAAATAAATTTTATTTACTTATTTATTTCAATTTTTATTTGAGAGGCAGAGAAAGAACTCTTCCAACTACTGGTTCACTCCACAAATGCCTGCAAACATTCAGGGCTGGGCCCGGCCAAAGCCAAGAACCCAGAACACAGTCTAGGTCTCCCATGTGGGTGGCAGGGACCCAAGTAGTTGAGCCGTCGTCTGCCTTCTGGAGTAAGCATTCTCAGGAAAGCAGGTCGGAAGCGAAGGAACCAGGACTTGAACTCCAGTGTGAGATGTGGGTGTCCCGAGATGCAACTTAACTGCTGTGCCAAACATCTGCCCCTCCACGAACCTTTTGAAGATCCCTGGCTTGAAAATGGATCTTAGCTGACCTGTCACATGTCCTTATCCTTAAACTTCTTTGTCCTATTGCTTGAAATCCTTGGTATTAGTGTTAGAGACAAGTAGGAAGTGAGAATTCCAAGATGTCTTTTCCTTTGGGAAATGAAATATTTGTATTAATTTTCTCTTTAGCCACCTGGTCAAAATATTTCAGAGAGGATGAAAATCTTTTGCAGTGGTGCCCTTAAAAGACCCAGAACAGGCACTGCATGGGTCAGTGAGAACCTTTAACTTAGTTATTTAACTGTAACTTCCTTAGAGCGAAGTTAACGCAAAACAATAGAAATAGAAAATACCATGAAGAAGTAAGTGACCAGTTTTAAATGACTGCCTCATTCCCTCCCCCTCCTCCGGTAAACTGTTGTTATGTAGGCATGATTAAAATACCCTGCTGTTGTAACTTTTGAAATTGTTTGAACGAGGAAAGTGATGTGACTTTGCTGTTGTCCTGTTGCGCTCTTCTGATTTTTCCTCATTAATAGAACAGGCATTCTCGTCGCACATACTGGAACCAATAGAAGAACTTTCAGAGGAAGAAAAAGGTAACAAAGGGCTCGATCAGGGTTTCCCTGTGAAGATTTGCTTCATGTGCTCAAATGCGAGCGTTGAAAATAGGAGCTGGTGGTGCCCGTTGCACTGTGTCACCATTAGGTCAGACACTTAGGTTTGGATTATGCTTTAAACCTGTTCTCTTACTCCCCTAATTCCTGTTGTTTCCGTTTCTTTACTGCATTCTTACACAAGTGCATGAGAAATTTCCTATGTCGGAGAACTAAAAAAAAAAAAATAATAAATAAACCTAAGTCTTTATTTCAAGGCAGATATGTTCTGATCAGGTGACAAATTGACACACATTTATTTGAACTAGATGATATGAAAATATTTGTGTCATGGTTGTGATTTCTCATACTCTGAATTTAAAATAAATGGGTAAAGTGTCCATTTCCAAATTATTTTTAATAGCAAGAAAAGCATCATGTCTGTGTTCTGGATATGGAATACTTATGTGCAAAATAGTATGTTCGTGGTAGAATTTGGGAGCTATTACAGGTTTGAGGAGATAATTTAAATTATTACCACTTCATCATTTTATTTGCCAGTTATGAAAATTGTTTTCTGACAATTAATTTTTGATGTTTGTGAAGAAAATTTTAAATATAGAAGTATTTTCTAATCCTAGATGTGTAGATCCTGAAAACAATTTGGATCTATTTATTATAATTTCCATATTAATAATAATACTTTACCAAATCTTCTCACTAAATCTTCCTTATTGAGAAAGAAAATTGCTAATATCTCATTGATTCTGGTTTTGTCATTTTTGTCAGGAAGAGAAGTAAAATACAATTTTATTTTTTTACAAGGTTTCAAATTTAGAATTGACCAAATTGGGCATATTCATGATATTTTTAAGTCTTATTCTTGCTGTTTTTTCATCAATACCTTTTTTATATGTTTAGTGGTGTTCGTTTATGTTGCTCCCACGCACCTCTGGAATCTGTGACTTTCTATATGACAGACTATTTAATTTAGAATTTCACATCTCCCTGTCACAGTCACTGCCCACATTCTGCTCTCATTCTAAGGAGCATTATTTCAATTGCTTCATTTCTTTCTTCTTTGTAATTACTGTTCCAGTGTTTAAAAACAAAGCCAAAATTGTTGAGGGAATTTGGAGGCATTCTGATGGGCCTGACTTTAAAATATATTCCCACCCTCCTTTGAGATCCTCACCTTGTTCCCTTGCCTAAAGAAGGAGAAGCTGAGTGGGTCTTTGGCAAATCCTTCCAGCAGCCTTGAAGGTGGCCCCAGCCCGGTGTCCAAGGATATGCCTGGGGCTAATTCCATTCCACAGACCAAGATTGCCACTGTTTACAATCAGTTGCCAATGTTTAAAAATCAGAACATCTCACATGAAATATCCTAATTTCCCTGATATTTCTTGAAAACCCCAGAAACCCTGGGCATGGAGTCCACAGAGCACCGTTGAGTTAGGCTGAATAACAGCCTTGGCTATGGAAGCAGCCACAGCAATTGCAGTGGCCATCATCCTGCTTCCCTTTCTGCCCCACTTTGCCACCTTTGCCCCACCAGGGACTATGAGTCTGTAAGCCCTAATAGTGAAGAGAAATAGCACTTAAAAATTGTGTCCTTAATAGATTTTCAACCATTCCTGTTGGTTTCCCGCAGACAGGATGAACAAATCTTGCCGTGTTGGAGTTGTGAATAATGATGTATCATTTTATTTTCAAGCTTCCTGTCCCCTCAATGCATATCACTTATAAATGTCCAAGACATTAAATCCCCTCTTCTTCAAAGAATTGTTGAAATGCATTAGGGGGTTTATAAAGAAAGGTCACGTAGTTTTGAAACTGGAACTTCAGGTCCATGTGGTTGACAATTATTTTTAAAAAATGAGCCAGAGAGCACTCTAAGAGGAATTGTAATTCCCTACCATCACTCAGTTGAGTCTCTTGACTTGGAGTTCCAGGTTTCACCACTGAATCACTCTGCCTGTGCTGCATGAGTTCTGTGCATTGTAAGGTGGGAGTTTGAGATCATTGACAACAGACACCATCATTGGTTGTGGCCATCATTAAGGCTCCATACTAAGTAAGAAAATAATCTTTGCTACCCTCCATGTGTTCAGAAAGAGCTCTGGTAGGAGAGAGGAGAGTGCTGATGGCCACAGAAAGTGTCCCAGGGTGCAAGTGCTACAGGAACCACTGGCTGTATTCTTAGCAACTTCCTGGCGTTAGCATACATGCAGCTGATTAATTGCCACCAATAAATCCCTCGGCTTGTGCTAACACTTCAGAGATCAATGCCTGTGAAACTAGGTTTTGGCAGTGGCTTTGCAAAAGCACTGTGACTGCTCTAAGGAGGAAGGTGCACACGCTGCCTGTTCCTGCATGCTTGCTTTCCGATACTTGTGTACAGGCTGCTGTCTATGGGATATGACAGCACAAGGACCAGAAGGCAATCTCAGAGGCTTTCACCTTCCAGAAACTTGAAGCACAAGGGAATTAGGTGTCTGTTCCAGGTCTTTGAGTGTAATTTGTGACCCAGATGGAACTAAAGTCCAGGTTTTCAGCTTTCTATGGTTTAATGCAAACAGCCAATGAAGAATGGCAAGTTGGTGGCCTTTGGAGAAGTGCCTGTACCTCCCTGGGTTTCCTGTCCTCTCGGGGAGCACGAGGAAGGCTATTATGAGGCGATAGATCTAGTCCCTTCCAACCCAGAAATCCTGTTTATTTTGTTATTACTTGCTTTGCACTATAATTATGTGCTTACTGTAAATGGTGTGTTGTGTGTCTGATACAGCTGATCACAGGTGTGGACTCTCGTGCCTTAGTCTGGCCATCTGCTTCATTGTTTTAAAAGGTTTAATTGGAGCAAATGCTGGTCTCGAAAAAGTTTTGCCTTGTTGGTCTTGGTGAGCAATATGTGCTTTGCCTCTGGTTGTTTTGAAATGAATACTCTAAAGCTTTGTTATTTGTTCCCCTTGTCCACTCTACATTCTTTCTCTTGCTTCTCCCAGCCAACCTCAGCTTTGTAAGAATCCTTACCATGAATTTTTTAATTATCCATAATAAAGAGCTTCCCAAAGCAAGCACCATCATAGAATGTACATTTGAGGACCGAGGGAAAAGTTAAATTTGCTACAATTTGGAGGAATTTGATTATGGAATTGAACTTGTTATGAGGGTTGAGGATGATCATGGACACATCAGTAAATGAATTCAGTAATTACAACTTGTCTGAACTGTGGCCAGGCCATGCTAGGCATCACCTGACCCCTGGATACGGCCCCACATCTCAGAGCAGACAGGGCCTGGAGCCTCTGCTTGGCTATACATCTCTATGCTTCTGTGATACCTGAGATACTGGACAAAAGTTCATCTTTGCATAATCAAGACAGGGGATGTCTATTCTAATGATAGAATCCTGACTTCCAGGTTCTCTCAGTACCACTTTTTATTTTTGGCTCTGATATTTTTAGCTTGATGGCCAACTAAAGGCCAAAGCCAGTGGCCACAGCTAAGCCTTCTAGATTTTCATGGATTGTCATTTCCTAATAGGGAAGTGGTTTTTTTGGTTTTTTTTTTTGTGTTTTTTTTTTTAAGGCAGTTTCAGAATATTTGAAAACATTGGTGATTAAACAGCAGCATGAATACTGAGAATATAAAATTTAAGATGACTTGTGACTTTTAATTGTGGTCATATGTAATTTTATAATTTCAGCTTAGCAAGCTCCAACAGAATATGCAAAAGTAGCTTAATGCAGGATTTTTTCTTCTATTTAATGTACAAATAGTTGACTAATTTTAGCTTCATTAAAACCACTTATTAATATCACAGAACTAATCTTTACCACTGGAATTGAACTAGTATTTGAAAACATCTTAAAAAAGAAAGGCATTTTGTTCAAGATCTTCTGCAAATCCAAGCTGTATAGGTACTAAAAATCCCAGCTCCTGAGGTGTGTGAGGTGGTGGAGCAGAGATGTGTCCCCCTGGGCCAGCCTGCAGCCACACACCTTGGAAATGGCCTTTTCCATTTCCTAGGATGCCATCTTTGTTGGGAAAAAACACCCCAACACTTTGGAGATTTGCCTCCAAAATGATGTCACAGGTGTCAGGTTTCTCCTAGATCTGGCTTTGTATGCTGAGAGTCTCAACAGTCAGTCAAGCACTGGGTGTCTTTAATCAAGTATTCAGTTTCCTGGGACGTATGGATTCAGACTTCACAGCTCTCGCCGTGAACCCCCTTCTCCAGACTCCACGTCAGCTAGACTTTTTTTTAAGTAGGCAATGAAAGAACAAGAAAGGAAACACGAGGGGAATATATGTCCTGTTGTTCTGGATTTCTTTGTTTTTAAAAAATATGCTTTTCCAAAGATTTTCATTTAACCTCTTCTCCATGTTGATAAGAGAGAGGGATAAAAATGATCATATTTTGAAACTTCATATGCACTTAGCATCTACTAAATTGCTTAAAATTTTAATTATTTAAGTAAGTTGGGATTTTTCTTCTTAAGATGACACATAAATTCTAACAACTAAGAGAAGAGTTTTTCAGGAAATAGTGAAATATTTCTAGTGGTAAAACATTAAACTTCTAAACAAAATTTTTCATTATGCTTCTATGGATACATACATTTCATATAAAACTTGGTTCAGTGGTCAAGAAATAAATGACACTAGAGTTTTAAAGCTGACTTAAAATAGCTTTATGAAAGTTCTTCAAAATTCCTGGAAAATGCATATTTGTGAAAAAACTGCAAAGATTTCAACTTTTTGCACCAAAATAAATTTATCTTTTAGGTCTATCATTTTACAGTGTTTTTGAATTCCTTCATAAAAGCTTCAGTACTTAAGTATTTTATCTGGTGCTGAATGGCTAAAATACCTCAAAACTTAAAAACATTACAAATGCTTGCTTGCTATTTAAAAATTGTGCATTGTCATTTTCTGCTTAGGGATATAATGTGTCTGTTTAATTCTTTTCTAACACATTTTAAAACCTTATTTCAGGAAAGGAAAATGAACAGAAGTTAAACAACAACGTGCATTTAATGAAAACTCTGAAGAATAACTCCTCCCTCACTAAAGAAATAAGGACAGTCCTGGAGCAGAGCTTGGTGGAGAAACTGGAAGGCCTGGGGATTAATGCGGTACGTCCACTCATTTTGGGAATATTTGCGGGCCTTGATGTAGTTTGCTTTCCACATAAGAAACAATCGGCGAAGAAGACGTATCTGGTCTGTCCATATTTGGAGACCAGAGGCTAACACAGCCTACTTTATTTATTAGTCAGTCACTTAGATGTCATTCACTTTGTGCCTAGCACGTTCCTAAGACCTTAACAAGTATTAGCTAATTTAAATGTAGAAAGAGACCTCTGAGATGAGAGATGTCAGCACTGTTTTCCAGAAAGGTCAAGTAACTTGACAAAGGTCAGGTGGAGATAGTGAAGGAGCTAGGGTTTGTGTGTTGGCAGCTGCGGTGCTGCCTGCGTCCTGATGATTAGCACCAAATCTTGCCTATTACAAAATCAGCACTTAATATTTGTCAGAAAAATGGGTGGGTGGACTGTGATTCCCACATTGAATCATTTTGGTACATCATATTACATATGGACATTTACATATAAAATGTATGCAAATTAATTGAATTTGGTGAACTTACATAACTGTATCATGTGTTACAAATGTATATATATGTGTGCATGAACCTAACTATATATATGCACATATGTATGTATGTAGTAGTATATGTGTGTGTATAGGTATCTATATTTGTACATATGTGTATATAGATATGTGTGTGGAGAATGTATATAGGTGTGCACATTTGTGCATATACATGTAAAGTGGTACTTTGTATATTTGTGTATATTTGTGTAGTCAAATGTGTGTATGAGGGTACTTCAAAAGGTTTGTGGCAAAGTGGAATTAAAAGAATGAGTTTATTTTGGTGCAAAAGTTTCTTGGGCATTGTTTTCTCATAATATGCATTTTCCACATATTACAAAAATGTTTCTGCACCAAAATTTTTTTGGTACTAAAATAAACTCATATCTATATTCCATGCATTTTTAAGTAGTCTTGTATATTTACTTATACTTACATGGATGTGTGTGCGTGTTTACACATGTGTGTGTGATCTGTGACTACACCCAGGTGATGAGACTGAGTATTTCCAACACCCTTGAAGACCCTCTTCTATGCTTTCCTAGTCAATATCACTCCCTACTCTCCAATAAGAGGTAGCAGGCACTGCAAACAAGTGGGATTATATATTGTGTAGTACTTTGTTTCTTCTTTTGCATATGGTTCCTGTACATATGATACATACTTGCTGTCTTTGTTCTTCATTCACACTGGGGCATTCTGTGTGTGCATACCCTGCAGGTCATCTCTTCCCTGGCTGATGCAAATTTGGGTTTCTACTTTGGGGATCTTGGCTATCAATTCTTATACATGTCTTTTGGTGGGTGTAGGCCTTCCTTTTCCTTGGATATATATCTAGGAATGAAATTGCCAGGCCAAAGGGTAGGCTTATGTTTAGTATTACAGGTACTGCCAAATAATTTTCCAAAGTGTCTATGCCAACTCACTATTCCTGACAGTACATGAGAGCCCAGTAGCTCCACATCTTTCCCCAACTCTTAGTATTGTCAATTTTAAAACTTTCCATTTACACTCTTCTAGAGCAAGGAAATCAAAACCATTCATCCAGTATCTATAGTTCCTCTGCAAGTTGTTTCTTGAAACTAATTTTTCATGTTGGTTATTTGCATGTTTTAGGGGTTTTAATTTTAATTGGGACATTTCATTTTATCCTAAGATTATGAAGAATTCTGTTCCTTTTTCCTCTAGATGCATGGAGAAGTATTTTGGCTAGTTTATTTCCCGGGCATGTTTGTCATTCTGGACTTTACATATTGGATTTGAAAACAGTGATTTGAAGATCTAACTGTATTTCCAGTTGGATTAGTTGTACCAATATGATCAGATGAATGATCTATCTTTTCCCCATTTATTTGAAATAACACTTTTATCATATAGGACATTCCTATGGGAATTTGAAGTTTTCAGCCATTTCACTGTTTTATTGTAATCCTTTGCCAACATAATACTTATTTATTGTATCTTTGTCTTGCATTTTAGTCCCTTCTTCATTAGTTACTTGAAAAACTTCTTGATGGTTCTTCCATATTTTATTTTCCAGTGAAGTTTACGAACAACTTCTCTAGCTCTAGAATAACCCCCATTGGGATTTGGATTGAAATGACTTGACATTTTTATATTGATTAGGAAAGATTGACATGTGCACTGTATTAGATATTCGATGCAGTTACATGGTAGGAAGACAGACATTAACAGATGATCAGACAGTTGACTGATCTCTGTGTGATTATATGAAGTGAAGCGAAGGATGTGTGGAGGGGATTGATTGTATAACTGAGATCCAAGAAAATTTCTTCTTGGATGTGGTATTTAACCTGATGATGGAGTTTCTGTACTGGACAACCAGATGCTGGGCCACTCCCAGGGATGGGAAGACAGGGTAGTGGGGATAAGGATGGATATGTGGGCCTGAGATACCATTATTAAATAAATAGATCTTTAACTAGTTTTTCTTCTGTCTAGATTCCCATCAATTCCAGATAAATTTTCTCAAATCATCTCTTCAACTGTGCTACTTCCATAATTGGAAGTAACCTCTAGTGACTTTTCTGTTCCCTGTAGAATAACTTTTAACCTTTTCATGTTTGCCTTCAGCCTCCTTTTCTGGTTCTATCAGCTGTAGCAATAGCCTTTGGGACATGCCACATCTGTTTCTGCCCCAACATGTGCCGTTCCCACAAAGTATCCCTCCTTGTTCCTACCTGTTTGACTCAATCCACCCTTCAGGGCACAGCTCAGCCTCTCTGGCAGCCAGGACCTCCAGTGGCCTCCCTCTCTCCTTCAAATTCCTCTGGCTCGTGGATGCATTTGGTTGTTACTGCACACAACATTGTATGGTTGGCTAAGCAGTCATAAATAGTCAGACATGTGCCTTATGTGTCCAGCTGCACTGTGAACTCCTTTTGGGGCCAGGAACAGAATGTTCCATATTGAGGGCATCCCCCATCTTCCATGCAGCTGGAGCCCAGAAAGGATGGATTGAAACAGTGGCATAGTTAATGCCAACATATGCCTATGAAATTAAAAAAAAAAATCCCAGAGTAACTGATTAACTTCACATCACACTCCTTCAGGATATACGTGGTATTCCGACTGATCGCTTGAACAGAGTGTTAAGAACCGTGGAATCAGCCAGACATGAACGAGAAAGACAAATACCGAACATGCAACAAATTCGAGAACTCATTGGCCATCAGGTCAGCTGCAGAATTGAGGAGAGAACGTTGCTGTCTTCAGGTGAGCCTGACCACAACTGCCATTCTATTGCTGCAGGTGGGGGCCTAATTGTATACTCTTGTCACAGTTTTAAAGGGTTTACAGACATTGACAGTGGCACTTCACTGGCAAATGTCTTCCTCTTTGTACTACTAAATGCTGGGCCACAGATTCTGTTTCTATGTTTAAAAAAAAAAAAAAAAATTGGAGTCTAGACTCCAGAAACCTAGAGATAGGCTTGTCCATTTCCACAGCAGTATTGACAGTGTTGAAGATTTAGTTTTGCTTTTTACTTACTGAGAAAAAGGCAATGGAGTCTTAAGCATGACACTACTATTACAGATAAGTTCAGAGTTCCTCAGATGGACACCCTTTCAACTGGAGAAGTACCCAAAGCGATACAACTTCCTCCCAAAAACAGACTGTTGGTTAGACAAAGACCTGTGTTTACTGATAGGACCTCTGTTCCAAAGTGAGTATTTTCCGCTGCCAGACTTCTTTTATTAATGTTTGTCTTCATCCGCTCGGGCTTCCACAACAACCTACCATGGACCGTGTAGCTTAAACCACGGAGCCTTATTTTCTCACAGTCCTGGAGACTGGAATTTGAGCTCAGGGTGCCGGCATGGTGGAGTCTGTGAGGGCTCTCATTCTGCCCTTCATACAGCTGCCTTCTCACTGTGTCCTCAATAGGACAGTGAGAGAGCTAGAGTCTCCCTTCCTCTTCCTGTAAGGGCACTAATCCCAGCAGGAGGGCCCCACCCTCATTACCTCCCTGAAGTCTAATCACCTGCCAAAGCCCCTGCTTCCAGAAACCATCACGCTGGGGCCACAGTTCGGCACGGGGAGCATCCCCATAATGGTGTTGGGCCCGTGGGACAATCACACTTGGAATTCCTGTCTCATTGCTACTGGGAGACTTGTGTTACAGTTCTCTCTCTTTTATGTACTCAAAAATCACCAATTCCATAAAATTTATCTTTATACTATTCATCCATGCAGTTTAGAAATATTTTTGTTTTTTTTTAGAATTAAGAAAAATACAGTGGAAGATAATTTTCCCAGAAAGTCTTCAACTATTACGTGAGTACTTGGGGAAAGGAGGGTCATATTAAAAATTCTTTTAACTGAATGTTCTTTTCATTGTAAATTGGTACAATCATTGTGGCTGACTGAAGCTCTACTTGTTAGACCTCATTAACTTATGGTTCTCTTGTGACAGGTCTTCGTCTCCTTATCAATTATGTAAATCAGTAGTACTAAGGAGCCATGCCATAGGCATCCTCATTCCCTGACCCCACCTCACCCCATAGTGATTTTAATTAATTAATTAAATCATATGGATGATGTGACTTTGAATGGCTTTACCATGAGAGTGTACATCCATTTCAGGTGGCATTTTAGTGTTTCAGCTACTGGTCGACGTTAATGATCCAAGACCTTACTCTGTTAGGTTCTCTTACAAAACCAAGAAGCTAGCTCGGTTGCTGTGTCGCTGACTCAGCTGATTGGTGTTTAAAGCCTCAGGTTTCTCATCTGTATTATGGATAACGCAGCCTTTTACCCAGGCTTTTTCTACCATGCGAAAGGCTCAGTGCTTATAGATACTCAAACTAGAGTTATGGTATTGTGACTAATTATGAGCAAGACTAGTTTTATAACTAAATTTCATCATAATTGCCTTATTCTGGAGATATCAGACCATAAATGTCTCTTCACTGAGGCATTGTGGGACAAATCATTCACCCTTCGGAAGCACTTTTCATGTGTGGATGCTTATGGGAAGAGCTTTATGTCATGGGATGGAGGAGGACTGAATCAACACTTATGACTGACACATTGCCTGGGATTTAGGTGCTCGATGAATAATCTCCATCAGACACTGCTCTGAACTTCTATTTCATTTTAAAATGGGGGTGATAATTCCTGTGATAATACAAATGAGATTGCGTATGTAAAAGCACCCTGCAAGGTGCAGTGTGAAGGTTGGTTGTAGGCAATGACATTGTCTTAAAAGATGGGGTGGTTTTATGGTGATACCTGTTTTTCTTCCACTGAGAAGTGTTCCCCTTAGGTATGTAAAAACCAAGAGTGGAAAGAATCCACACACTTGGGTTGAGAAAAGTGGGGACTTCGGCCCACCTGGATCCACGTGCCTCGGGTCTGGCAGATCTGGAAGTGCAGTGACCACACTGCCACGTTTGGGACTGGGCCTCAGGCCATCTTGTCTGTGATCCACCTGCACCGCCACACCCAGGCATTGTTGGTGGTGCTGCTCTCTGCGTGGGGACAGTCCTACCGCTTTCAGAGGCCCATCGTCTGTCAATCTTGATCTGTGTAGGACCCCTCCCTTCAGTTCGGAGGAGGAGCTGGATGAAGAGGACATCATCCAGATGTACTCGTCCCCAGACCTACTTCCTGTGAAGTCCTCTAAAAGCAACAAGAGCAACGTCGCAAAGGCCGCCGCCAAAAGTGACACTGACTGGACCGAGTGCAGCGAAGTAGAGGAACTGAACGTTTTCCCCAAACCTGCAGGTGAGCTGTGAGGGTTGAGAAACCTCCTGGGAATTTCAGTTAGGGCCGGGGCCCTCACCAGGAGCTGGGAGAGTGTGCGAGCGGGAGAGAGGGCTGATCCAGAAGGCGCTGCTCAGGAACACGGGCAGTGCAGAGCTACCAAGCCATGGCCAAGGGGAAGGAGAAGAAGGCACGGGGACTGCCACAGGGAGGCACCCCACACGGCGGGGCCCGAAGCACAGAAACTGCTGCAGCGTGGCTCCCTGCTAGCAGGGCTGGTGCTGGGCAAGGGTTGTGAGGGAAGGACCTGCCCTGCGCTGCTGTCCTTGGATGGCTGTCTCCTCCCTGCGTTCTGCACCCAGATTTCCCAAGATCCTAAGGGCCCCGGTCACACTGGAATAGAGCCCACCCTATGACCTTGCTTTGGTTGACCTCTTTAAGGAATCCTGTTTCCAAATACGGTCACATTCTAAGGTGCTGGGGGTGAGGACTTTAACATGTAAATTTGAGGGGACACAGCTCAACCTGTAACACTGGACAACCATGGGAATGGTTGTGACAATCCACGGTGCTGCCTTTTAGAATGGGTCAGTTCTACACAGTCCGGCTCTGTGAGTGCTGGCGGTTTGCTGAAGAGAAGTAGTGGGTCTGTTTTTGGTTTTAAAGAAATTTTAGCCAGTGCTGCCGTAGCGCAATAGGCTAATCCGCCGCCTGCGGCGCTGGCACACCGGGTTCTAGTCCCGGTCGGGGCGCCAGATTCTGTCCCGGTTGCCCCTCTTCCAGGCCAGCTCTCTGCTGTGGCCCGGGAGTGCAGTGGAGGATGGCCCAGGTGCTTGGGCCCTGCACCTGCATGGGAGACCAGGAGAAGTACCTGGCTCCTGGCTTCGGATCAGCGCAGTGCGCCAACTGCAGCGGCCATTGGGGGTGAACCAACGGAAAAAGGAAGACCTTTCTCTCTGTCTCTCTCTCACTGTCCACTCTGCCTGTCAAAAAAAAAAAAAAAAAGAAATTTTGTCTACTGTAATTTTTAAAATTACATCTTAAATATCAGATATAATTAACCTATTGATTTGTATGTAATTTGCATAGACAGCCATCCCGCTGTACCCGCGGTGGATTGGTTGCAGGCCGCACCCCATAATAAGCCTGCAGGTATGCAAATCCCTTAGTTGGAAAGACATGGTATTTGTTTGTAACCTACACACTTCCTCTGTACACTGTAACTCATCGCTCGGTTACCTATAATACCTAGCACAATGCAAATACCATGCAAATAACTGAAATACTAGATTGTTTAGGGAATCATGATAAGAAAAAAATGTCTTTACATGTTCAATACAAACATGATTGTTTTCCTTAATATTTCTGACCCATGGTTTGTTGAATCCACAGACGTGGAGGGCCAACTTTGCCATATATTTGTACAATTATGTAATGTATAACTGGTTGACTTAAAAAACAATTCATTTTGTTTTTGAAAATGCCATCCCTGTCGGTTGCTTCAATGAGGTTTCTGACCATATACCGTAGTGAGATCATGCTTCTTTAAAATGAAAACTCGATAGCTCCTTGTCTGGAGGAGCATGGTTTGTTTTTTAAGATATTAAAAGTTTTAACTTTTACTCATCCCCCAAATCTATCAGTTGATTTTACATGAATAATAAATCATTGAATGTAAAGTTTAGACACTTTCAGCGTTGCCTTTAAAGTTGTTTTGGAACTGAAGATACAAATTTTTAACTGTTTTCCATTGATTCTATAGGAACTTCCGTCAAAACACTAACTGAACAAGTTGAGAAAATAGCTCCACATCACAGAAATGGGACCAAGCCAGCCGCTGGAGTTAATGTTCCTGATATGTTCGTCAGAAAGGAAGAATTGCAAGAACTAAAGGTGAGACCACTTTTACTCGCCAAGCGTGCATTAATTCATCTTTTGTACTATTACACCTTAATCACTGCATTTTTCACAGTGAAGTATAAAACACAATTTTTAGTATAGCAGTTGAGATTTTCACCTTATCTTCAGTGTTGTGTTTCTTTCCATTCCGTAGAGAATCTGAGCTATTGGAGTGATAACTGGTGCTAGACATCATTTGCATATCACACTTAACAGGCTTTCAAACTCCTGTCATGTGTATATATACCAGGTGTGGATCCTTCTTGTACAAAGAGCTCTGTGACTGACTAGAACCCGGGACCTCCACAGTCGCATCCAGGCACATCCAGAAATGGGGGCCCAACACTTCCTGGGTGGTTCTGACCCCCAGGGCCTGGACTTGTGGCTGTGTACGGGGACCTGCCCTATTTCTGGACACAGCACATCCGTGTGGACAGGGTCTGCCTGCAGTGATCTCTCTTGCCTTCATTTTTCACTGAGATTTAATTTTTATCCTAATTTTCACTCAGACTTAATTCTTACCCTATTTATTCATGGAATCCAGAACATTCCACCAAATTACTTTCATTCATGCTATTTGTATTGTATAAGCCAAAACATGGCCAAAAAAAAAAAGTTGTGTGTCAAAGTGTCTTCTTTTGGAACGCACTCGAAATCTGCTTTTCTCAGGCAGGGGCCCTTTCCATGGGGCTCCCATGTGAGGTCGCTCACCCTGACAGTTCATACGCCTGCAACGTAATACTTCTGGAATTTTCTAAATTCATGACGGGGCAGAGTAGGAAAAATCCAGTTCCACGGCATGGAACAAAGAACAGGTGACTTCCTTAGTCTTTCCTTAGTTCCGGACTCACAAGTCTACTTCAGTTCCCTGCAGAAATGGCTGCCATAGTGCCAGCTGCTCAGTTAGGCCCCAGCCCGATGGCTGGGCACCGCCTCTCCCGGACACGCGAATCACTCTGCACGCCTTTCTTTCAGTGCACAGATGTGGATGAAGACGACTGGGACATATCATCCTTAGAGGAAGAAAAGTCGCTGGGGAAAAGACCTGGGCGAGAACAGAAGGAACCGCCAGCTGTGAAGAGTGAAGCGAATTCCACTCAACTGCTGAAGGCTTGGAGTTCCCTGGCCCCCAGGGGGCCCATGGGAGAAGGTTCGCTGCTTTGCTGTCTCAGCCCGTTTGCTGATTAGTTGTTCTGCTTTTCTATTAGTACCTATTTCAGTTACGCTAACATTCATCAGACGGTTGGCATAACCAAGAACTTGATGCTCTTCTGCTGTTCTTTTAATAAGGACTGAGTTTGTACGTAAAGTGACGAAGCATTTTCACGTAACTTTAGGCCTTACCTTTGGTCTTTAAAATTTTTAGGGAGCCGGCATTGTGCTGCAGTGGATCAAGTTTCAGTCCTGACTGCTCTGCTTCTGACCCAGGTCCCTGCTAAAGGACCTGGGAAAAGCAGGTGGAGGGTGGCCCAAATACGTGGACCCCTGCCACCCATGTAGGAAACCACCGTGTAACTCCTGGCTCCTGATTTTGGCCTGGCCATTGTGGCCATTTGGGGAGTGAACCGATAGATGAGATCTGTCTTTCTCTCTGTCACTCTGCTTTACAAATAAATAAAATAAAATAAACAAATCTTAAAAAAAATTTTTTTTGTTAGTGTTGGAAATGTCCAAGCAAAACATCCCCTTTGTGCAGGGCCCTTAGATGTTAAAATTGCCAATCTCAAAGCTGAATGAGACCATTCTTCTGGCAGTATTCCCACAGTTCTGTTTCCCTACCAAGTATTTTTCTTGATTTTCTTCCAAAGCAGTTTCATTGTAGTTAGTGGGATGAACTATAAATGAAATCCTTCATTAAATGGTTTCCATCCACCTAGTGTAGAGCTGGTTAAGTCCCGTAACTTAACTCTCAATTGATTTAATTTTGAAAGTTAAAAAAATTTCTAATTAATATTTTTTTTTAAAGATTTATTTATTTACTTGAAAGGCAGAGTACAGAGAGACAGAGGCAGAGAGAGAAAGGTCTTCTGTCTCTGGTTCACTCCTCAGATGGCTGCAACAGCCAGGGCTGGGCCAATCCAAAGCCAGGAGCCAGGAGCTTCTTCGGGTCTCCCATGTGGGTGCAGGGGCCCAAGGACTTGGCCCATTTTCTACTGCTTTCCCAGGCCATAGCAGAGAGCGGGATCAGAAGTAGAGCAGCCAGGACTCAAACTGGTGCCCATATGGGGTGCTGGCACTGCAGGCGGCGGCTTTACCTGCTATGCCACAGTGCCAGCCCCTAATTAATAATTTCAAGAAAGTAATTCTTGCACATGGTGGAAGTCAAGTTGTACGTCAGCTGCCTTCAGTGCTCCGGTGGGCATCTCCAGGTCTCTGGTAATAGGCCTTGATCCTTCTGCCTTGGACATGAGCTATGAATGTCCTGCACAGAAGTGGCCTTGACTCATTCTCACCAGTCACTTAGGCCCCTCTTCATTACGTTTGCACCCAGTTTGTAAACTAATACATGTAGGTCTTTACATTTCAGTAGGTGCTCCTGTTCCCTTCACTTTGCCTTTTCTCTGCCACTCGTATGTCACCTATGTCTTCCCCCTCACACTGTCAACTTATAGCACAGCCACCATGTAACCCAGCAGGAAGTTATCTATCATTGGCATAAGGATCCACCCCAATTGTTGAAAATCAAAAGACCACTTCAGGGGCTCAGGATCATGGCACTTTTTTTTTTTTTTTTGACAGGCAGAGTGGACAGTGAGAGAGAGAGACAGGCAGAAAGGTCTTCCTTTTGCCGTTGGTTCACCCTCCAATGGCCACCGCGGCCAGCGCGCTGTGGCTGGCGCACCGCGCTGATCCGATGGCAGGAGCCAGGTACTTATCCTGGTCTCCCATGGGGTGCAAGGGCCCAAGCACTTGGGCCATCCTCCACTGCACTCCCTGGCCATAGCAGAGAGCTGGCCTGGAAGAGGGGCAACCGGGACAGAATCTGGTGCCCTGACCAGACTAGAACCCGGGGTGCTGGCGCGGCAAGGTGGAGGATTAGCCTAGTGAGCCGCGGTGCCGGCCGATCATGGCACTTTTTAATCGAAGCTCATCGACCCTAGGAAGTGTTTTTTTAATACTCATCCCAACCTGACTTGCTGATCTTCTTCTCCTTTCTTGATATTTGTTCATTTAGAGTCATCAACAACAGCACAAATGTCCTGAGCACCCTGAACACCGGGGCCCCAGGCTGAGCAGGGGGGAATGGGGGAGAGGCAGGTCCAAGTGTGCTCAGTCCAGGAGCTTGTAGGCTGCAGGGCAGGACCTCACAAACTGGGGTCCTGCGGTGGGGGTGGGGCCAGAGCTGTGGCTAACTTGCGGTTGGATTTCATAGCAGCCTTCCAACATGGCTCGTGGGGGCTGGAGGGCCCCTGGGTGACGAATGACAATATGAAATTATGGATTTTTACAGGCTTGACAGTCTGTTTAACCATTGGGCCCTTCTCTTCCTCCTTTCTCCCTCCGGCTCCACAGGACTTCAAGAGAATGAATCAAACACCTTACAAAGCAGTTTAGTAACCGTGTCAGATTGGAGTGACGCTTCAGATGTATAACCGAAACTCCCGGGTCAGAAGATTCATCCAGAAGTCAACCGTCTTTCTCAGGTTTTAGTAACCTGCCTCCACGCGTGCCATGCTCCTGCCTTAGAGCGTTTCCCACAATAACAAGGAAGCTGACTCAAAGAACAAGGATCTCTTTTACGGCACTTCATACAGTATTAAAAAACCAATTGTCCACAGTATTTTGAAGCATATAAAGGTGTTTAAGACTTCTGCTTGAAAAATAACATGTCGTTGAAGTCATAAAAAGTCTGTTTTCTTCAGAACGGTACTCTAGTGTTGAGTATATTCCTTTCCATAATTTTTAAGTCAGGCCTTTTAATTTATAGTAAATCTTGGTTTGAATTATTACAACTTTTTGAAATTTTCTTATGTGTACTATCACACTGGAAAGTGTTTATAATTTTGTTGGTATCTTTAAAACTGTATTAGTAGAATCATTAGTCAAATCTTACACATTAGACTGGTTATTTTTCATATAGAAGTTTTGAATTGCAATATAGCTAGGTCTATGTTCAGTACATTCTCCTGAAGTACCTTTGTCATACTTAGCTTACTGGAAAGCATGTTGCTATTACTGTTAGGTTCTGCAGCATAATCTTTTTCTTGGATATTTTATGAATAAAATATAGTTATTCTGAAAGCCAGTTATCAGAATATGAATGGAAAAGATGGGGAGTAACTTATGTGTATGTGGTTTGAGTTTCTGTAAAACATTCACCTCTTATTATAAAATACCTCAAAATTCATTTAGTTAATTCTTGAACATTATCAAAGGTCAGAAAACTAATATAAGCTTTTTTTTTTTTTTTGTAAATTTTTTACACTTTGTGATACTAACCTGTACTGTTTCCAAAAAAGTAACGCTTTAAGCACATGGTTTGTTGGGTTTTGGATCTCTTCATTCTGTCAACCTTTCCAGTAAAGCCTTCCATTGTTTCCTGTGCCTGTGGCTGAGTTATTAGAGACAATTTCTGGGTCAAACCTGTACTTGTGCTATGTCACACCCAGCCTGACACCAGAATGAATCTTTGTCTTCACCCTCCCACGGTTCTTTGCACTTGTAGCTCATTCCTAGCCTCAAAAATATCCTTCCAACTTCTCTTCATGCAGATACAAGGGGTCTTCAGAAAGTTCCTAGAAAATGCATAGTATGGAAAAATGATGCATGAATTTCAAAAATCTTTTATATCAGTGGCCAGCGTTGTGATGGCAGGTTCACCTTCTGCCTGCAACTCCTGCATCTCATATGAGCTCCAGTTCAAGTCCTGGCTCCTCCACTTCTGATCCAGCTTCCTGCTGTTGCGGCTGGGAAGGTAGCGGAAGATGGCCCAAGTATTTGGGCCCTGCCACCCACATGGGAGACCTGTATGGAGTTCCAGGCTCCTGGTTTTGGTCTGGCCCAGTCCTGGCTATTGCAGCCATCTAGGGACTGAACCAGCACATGGAAGGTTTCCCCTTCCTTCCTTCCTTCCTTCCTCCCTCCCTCCATCCCCCCCTCCCTCTGCCCCTTTTTGTAACTTTGCCTTTCAAATAAATAAATACAATCTTTAAAAACATTTTAGATCCAAGTAAACTCACCTTTTAATTGCATTTTCCTATGAATGTTTTGAAGTACCTTGTGTACTCACTTTATTTGTATGTTTCTTAAAGATTTAATAAACATCAAATTTTCATGAGTAGTAAATAGAAAACTTTTACAATATAAGTAGTAAATTGCAAAGAGAAGCAGCTTATAAAAAGGCACCAGCCCAGAGATAGCCCATGGGTAACTTTGTTCATTCATTTATTTAACAGATATTTAGCCAGTTGGTGGTTTTTAACATGTGTTAGTTCATTAATTAGAACACCTCTGAGACATAATTATTGTTCTAATCCACAGCCTAAATATGTGAGAAATTGAGTTATTAAGTAATTCTCCAAAGGCCATACAGCAAGAAGTAGCAATCGCAGACTTTAAATCAAGTCTTTATTGCAAGGTTGTCTACCAGGTCTGCACTCCTGAGTGGAAATGTTAACACACTTCTGCTCAGTAAGCCCAGTACTGAAACAAGGTCCATACTCCACGTCAGAAAGGCCAGTCCTTTTACTTCTCCACATAGTACTGGCATTTTTTCTTATTAGATTGGGTTTGTTCAGTTTTCTCTGGACTGCTACCCTCTGTTGCCCCTCTTGGATGTCCAGCCAACCAGTATCTGATTACTAACAGAGCTCTTCCATAGCTTCATCCCCTCCCTCCCTAACACCTTCTATCAAAGGAAACATTGCGCTCGCTCAGACTTTGGTTTAAAAAAATGTTTCCAACACACAGCCACACAATCCTGTCTCCAAGTTATGTCTTTCAGTGAATTAGTATCTAGAAAAGGTATTTCAAGTATTATCATGGTATGATTTAAAAAGGAAATTTCTAACCAACTTCTTTATTCCTTTTCTTTATATTAAACATCTTCATTTTCCCTTTAAGTCTTTCATGGTTCAGGAAAATCATGCATTCACCTATGTTGTCATTCATATTGGACAGTTTCTTATTCACAGATAACACAGCTATCAATTCTTGTCCACACCTTGGAACTATGTATTTCACCCTAGACAGCTTCAGTTTGAAGTTCAGTTTTGTTACTACTACTACTGTGGAGAGTTACTTACACTCTGATTTCTTCCTTGATGAATGCAGAGTAACAGCGTGTACCAGACAGAATGGCTGTGAGGGGTGAGGGGTTAGGGCTCGGAACTGAAATAAATCTAGGTCTTTGTTCAGAAGTCCCTGGAGCAACTTACATGCCTTGAAAAATGGCAAGTCTTTCAATTCCACAGACAGGAGCTGTGAGGCGCACAGCAACTTAACCCATCAGATCTGAGTAAGGCGGGCACCAAGCAGGCTCTGGGACTTCCTTACTGGCTCGAGATTCCACCCTGGCCAGTTTCCCTAGCTGGGTCCTTGCTGATGCCAGGTCCCAGGACTTGGCTTTCCGTGTCACAGAAGCCTAAGCAGCTACAGAAGATGGATCTGCCACATAAAAGTTAGCAACATCTTGGTTCCATTAGTCAGTCCTTGAGCAATCTCAATGAAAGACAGTCATGGCAGACAGGCCTAAGAAACGAGAACTTGACTTAACACAGCCAGTAACAGCTCTATTTAACCCTCCTGCCTTTCGGGCAGTGGTCTCAGACTGTCCCCATAGTGCTTAGCAGACACCATTCCTCATATGCCTTCTGTTCAGCTTATGAATCACAAGAAACATAAGGAATGGTAGGGACAAATATGTGGATGATAAAAAAGATGTACTATAAAAGACTTCTTAACCTTTGTGGTACCAAATACTATGTATTCTATATTATAAAAATATTACAAGTCTTGTAAAGAACCTGTTTATTTTGCATAGAAAGCCACAACAGAAAATGATTAGTATATAACTGTATAGAACATTTACATCCATACAATCAACAAAGTCTTCCAATTCATATTAAAAAACAGTTTGAGTGTTGATTCTAGGAGGGTCTTGACGGGACCACCTTGGGATCACAGGTCAACCGGAAGGGCTCTTTCAGACATAGGCGTTTTTATCAAACTGTTTTGAAGGGTTTGTAGATTTGAAATCTCCTTCTCCACCATGATACTTTGTCCGAGACGACATGACAGACGTGGCTCCATTGTACGTGTATGCCATTCTGCAAGGCAAAACACAGTTGTAGGATCTGGTCCACACGGAGGACAAACAAAAATGGAAAGAGACCCCTTGTGCCTGTCTCCATCAACAGCTAAGTGTAAGTCGCCTTCTTCCTTAGCTCGCTTCCCACTGCACCCAAGACATACTGCAGCTTCATTGCAGGAGAGCTGTAGTGACAAAGATCTCTGCAGGGGAATGTATCACCTGTTCCTTTGTTTAGCCATTCTCTTCCAACCAAAACTGTTTTTTGTGTTTTTTTTTTAACTCATCTTCCTGGAACCTGGTAGGCTTATGGGTGACCTTCATCAACAATTCCTGCCTACGTGAAAAATATGATGAGGCCAGGCTGAAGAACATGTGTTCATATTTAGGCTCACATTTGTCCATACAGAAGTAGCTTTGGAATAGATTAATGATACAGACTTTAAAAAAATATTAATGATGTTCCTAACCTTTTCTAATTCTGGGCTTTTGACATCTCTAAGAACGGATGGACTATCCAGAATTTATCTCACATGTAATGATTTACAATAGTACTGTACTTAAGAGGTAATTTTTGTCTCTTTCATACCTGGGTGTTTTGCTGTTGTCAGATATTGAAAAGCAAAATATGATACCACCAATTATGCAGAGTGAGGCTCCTGCCCATCCGATGAACAGAGCGGCTCCCAGTTCATACCTGCGAGAAAGTATTACACAGGCATTATGGCTTGCTTATTTGCGGGGGGTGAACAGCACTTCACTCCACTCGCCAGCATTTACTAAGTGCTCCCTATAAGTGTTTGCAGTTGGAACCTGTAAAGGACGTTGTGACATCTGTAATCCGCACAATGCCTTAAACTCTTCGTACAGCCGTTACTTTACTGTTGCCCCCAGCATCCTGATGGGAAAGACAGCATCTGTATAGGGCAGGTGGAAGCGAAGCCAGCCAGCTCGGGTCTGCTGCCTCATCCAACACCCTTCTCTGGGCTCTGCCTTCCCCTCACTTCTTTCCATCTATTATTTTCTGTTTCATGGGGTGAACTACGTGGGCAGAGTATAGTTAGACAGTAGAAGGCAGTCTTGGCTTTCATCTCAGGTCAATTCAGTAGAAGTTTATGAAACATCAGCCAGGTACAAATGATGCTACAAGGTGCCCTCAGCAGCACCATCGTATTTGTCACCCCACTAGTGAGAAGAGCTATCATTGATAATGAATTACTATTAAGCATCTCCCAGACAGCAGGCACAGTACTCTGATAGTCTTCCGCCCTGGGGGAAGTCTGTACAAAGGTAGGGATGGCGCTACTGAGAACCACGAAGTAGAGGGTTAGAGGAAATCCTTTTAGGGGAGGAACATTCACGCAGAAAAACAAATAAGCAATGAGAAAAGTATACCACAGTCTCAGGAACTGTGTGCGTTCCCATGTTTGCTCATCTTTTCCCTGAAGAATAGGCTGGGGTTTGGTTTTGTTTGTTTAAAAAAAAAAAAAGTGACTCATTTGGGCGCATAAACCTCCGATGTAAGGAAGCAGAACTCCAGTGGTGCTTTCCAGTGTAGAATAAGCCAGGGTTTTCATGCCACAGAATCCCCAGGGGAGATGAGACAAGGAAAATGTAGCGATGAAGGGAAGATGGCGGCCACGATGCGTCTCCCCCACAAGCAGGTGCACAGCCAGGGACAGCCTTGGGATTGACTCTGGAGTTGCAGCAGTGTTTGTGGGACTGTGTGGCCCCCACCACTCGCCAGGAAAACAGCAAGCCAGACTTGCAGGGATGCAGGGGCTCAGGGTCCACTGGTGCCCTTGCAACTGGAATGAGGTTTGTGTGCACAACACATGGTACCCCCTGTTCCCTTCTCTGCTTACTCTTGTGGTGCCCTTCCCGGGAAATCAGGAACAGGCCCACCAGGAGCCCAGAAACTTCTCCAAGGGTTCCCACAGGGGCAATGGCAGGGACAGACGGTTGATCCACAAAATTACAACCTGATATAGGACTGAGGCGTGAAGCGCACAGGTGAGAAAGCAAAACACTGTCTGGATCAGGACTGCCACATCAGGAGTTTTACAAACGATACTCTCATTAACTAGGATGCTATGCAGTACATCTGATGCTCCAGGTTTCCACAGTGAGCCCTGCTTTTATGTTGTTTTAGTGCAATTACACACTTAAACGAGCCAAGTGCCTGCCGACCTGCAGGTGTGTGTCATTGGACTACTTTAAGATATTTGGGTGCCCTGGAGTAAGTTGGCATCAGACCTGTCCCTCCATCTGTTTACTACGCAGACAACTATCAGAATGAGCGTGACAGAAAAATCTCTGTGTGGAGGATATTATTATAGGATGACTACTCTACAATTTTAGTCATTTTTATTTTTCTCTATTTTTCCCTCCCTATGCTGTAGGCTGTTTTCTCTCTCAAAACTAGACCTTAGTATTTCTCATACCTGTAAATATGCCCCAAAGAAATGTCTGAGATTTTTTTTTCTTAAAATATTGAGCTTTATGAAAATAGGATGACAGTGCCAGGGATTGTGGTTGATTAAAAGTAAGTCTGTACGTACTAAGAGTGGTCAGTTGACGGTTGAAGGTGACAGGAATTATAAGCCACTGGTTGGCACTCTGAACCCATGGACAGGAACATGATAAACGCGCACACATGTGTTTCTAACACACGGGGTAAGTTACCAGGCAGGCGGGAATTAGTCTACACTGGTTTGAGCCACCTTGAAACTTTCTGAAAGGATTTAATAATCATGGGTTTAGCTTTTACACGGATTAAGAACTGGTTCGCTCATTCCATTTTATTTTATTTTACTTTTCTTCAAGTCACTGGATAGACTATTCCAAGAATAATATAATTTCCACTTGAATTCCATGGTGAATTCCGTCAGAGACAAACATTTAATAAAGCAGTATATTTCAGAGCTGATTTTAGAGAACCACTGTCTACCACAATTATTATTAGTTTGTTTTTTTTTTTTTTTTTTGGACAGGCAGAGTGGACAGTGAGAGAGAGAGACAGAGAGGAAGGTCTTCCTTTGCCGTTGGTTCACCCTCCAATGGCCGCCGCGGCCGGCGCACTGCGGCCGGCGCACCGCGCTGATCCGATGGCAGGAGCCAGGTACTTATCCTGGTCTCCCATGGGGTGCAGGGCCCAAGCACCTGGGCCATCCTCCACTGCACTCCCTGGCCACAGCAGAGAGCTGGCCTGGAAGAGGGGCAACCGGGACAGAATCCGGCGCCCCAACCGGGACTAGAACCCGGTGTGCCGGCGCCGCAAGGCGGAGGATTAGCCTAGTGAGCCGCGGAGCCGGCCTATTACTAGTTTTTTTTTTTTTTAACAATTCAGGTGTAAGTGCTTTGGCGGCTGGTTCTTTCTCTTTCGCAGGCTTTTTCTTCATTCTGTGGAGGACGCGTATCATTGAGGCATGCAACACTGACTTCAATTCATACCTGTCAGGGGGTGTGATCTGGAAAAACTGCCATGTGCTATGGGCAGACAGGACTGAGAGAGAACACTGGCGCTCCAAGTTGTTCCCGAGGCGCGTCTCCTTAGTCTCGGCCTGCAGATGCTTCTTCATTTTTTGTACTGCTAAGAGCTGATTTCAGTACCTCAGGAAGATTATCCACATTTCAGATCACCTGTTGCAGGTCTTTTCTTTTGTTAGCGATATCCTCCTGGCTCAAGGCCAGCTCTCCCACTCAGAGTGTGGCCTCTCTACTACAGGTTTCCAAGTTGCTTCATTATTCTAAAAGTTACAAATCTACTTAACACCACACAGACCAATGGGTTGGGGCAGAGCTTCAGGTATAGACAAAAACACTGTTTTTGGACTATCTCAGTTGGTAAGACTCATCTAAAGCTGTTTCTATGATTTTAATACACTTACACCATTGAATGAGACTTTGGCAAAAAAAAAAAATATATATATATATATAAATAAAGCAGTGAGGAACACATTTAATTCTATCAGAGAAATTAGAACACAGTTGAACCCCTGAAAATCTCCCCCAGAAAGAAACCATAAAGATCTAAGCTGTTAACTGCTGGGTGAAGTTCCAGTCACCCCTCCACCTGGCTATGTCCTGTGATCCAGGCTGTTCCACACAGCGCTCCTCTCAGGTGGAAAGCGCTGGGCTACAGCACACCCAGTGACCTATGCGATGCACTTCATACCTTAAGTCCTAACATAGTTGAGTAATAGTCAGAGTAATCCTAAGGAAATGCACTGAGGAATACGTCTTATTTGCACCTCCTGCTTTTGTATTCATGGTACCCAAATCCCCATTCGGACTTGATTTTCCTTCCATGGGGAGCCAGTGTAGTTCCCTCTCTTCATCTCCCCAGGCCTGACGCCTACAGGTATTATGCTAATCATGTGTGGACACAAGACAGACAGACATAGCCCTGTTTTCATGGATCTGATGGTCTGGGCAGGGGTGCTAGTCAGACACTACACAAATAACAAAAGCGCAATGAAACAGTAGACTTAGAAGAGCAGGTCTGTGCAAAGGAAACATTACCATGGTTTTTCCAAATGTGCACAGATATAGTTACAGCAAATGGCCATGGGAATAACAGCTGCCCAGCACACTGTTGTTATCTGGGCTCTAAGATATTTTTATATATATTAGCTATAGTCGATGCTTATTACAATCCTGAAAGATAGGAGTTACATCCTCATTTTATAAATAAGAAAACCAAATTCAGGCAGATCAGGTCTACATAAATGGTGGAACCAGGATCTAAAGCTGACAACTGATTGCAAACCTCAAGTTCTTCACTTTTGCTCTAGCTTCCTTTTATGTACACCTCAGCTAAGAATATTGTTTGATTAATGTAAGAATCAACCTATCAAGGCAACACAGTTCTAGCGGTCACTGCAGACCCAGGTGAGTTTTCACACCCTGGCTCATTAAGTTCTCAGTGGCCCCACAGCTCTAGGGTATGGAATTTTTCCTGAATGCCCTTGGGCTGTCTCTTCACCCAGCACAAAAGAGATGAAAGTAGTCATGAAAACAAGAGCAGCTGGAGCCAAACAGGCACAGAGCAGCCCCTCCCAAGACCAAGGAAAAAGTATTTTAACAAATGAAAGCCCTTCATCCTTGTAAGATGCCCAGAGAAGTGAAATGGCCTTGCTGAATTCACAGAGCCAGGAGCTGTCTTTTGCCATCAAGGTCAGAGTTTTTGTTTTTACTACTAGTATTATTCAAACATATTGTCTTCCTCCAAAATTTAATCAAAATATTCCAATTACCTTAAAATAACCAAAGACTTTTAAAAAAATTTTAAATCCAGAAAGCACACTCATGTGTTATAAATGTTAACATTTCAAAATTGAGTTGAAAGAATACTAACAGGGTGGGTGTTTGGCCTACTGGTTAATGTGCCCACATCCCACTTAGGAGTGCTTGTGTTTAGTAACGGGCTTGGGCTCCTGGGAAGCAGCACTAGAGCTCCAATAACTGGGTTCCTGTCACCCATTGGCACACCCGGATTGAGCTCCTGGCTTCAGCCCTGGCCTACCCTTAGCTGCAGCAGGCATTTAGAGAATGAGGCAACAGGTAGAAGTGTGTTCCTTCTCTCTTTCTCTCTGCCTCTTAAAATAAATAACCTCCAAAGATCACCAACATGAACTTTTCCTTGAATGCATAGGCTTATATAATCCAAGGTTTATAAATAGGGTTTTCAAAAAG